TGATGCTGATGCGCTGATGCTGATGCGCTGATGCTGATGCGCTGATGCTGATGCGCTGATGCTGATGCTGCTGATGCTGATGATGATGCTGAAGCTGATGCTGATGCGCTGATGCTGATGCTGCTGATGCTGATGCTGATGCTGAGGCTGATGCTGATGCTGATGCTGATGCGGATGCTGATGCGGATGCTGATGCTGATGCGCTGATGCTGATGCGCTGATGCTGATGCTGATGCTGATGCTGATGCTGATGCTGATGCGCTGATGCTGATGCTGATGCTGATTCTGATGCTGATGCGCTGATGCTGATGCTGATGCTGATGCGCTGATGCTGATGCGCTGATGCTGATGCTGATGCTGATGCGCTGATGCTGATGCTGATGCTGATGCGGATTCTGATGCTGATGCTGATGCTGATGCTGATGCTGATGCTGATGCGCTGATGCTGATGCGCTGATGCTGATGCGCTGATGCTGATGCTGATGCTGATGCTGATGCTGATGCTGATGCTGATGCGCTGATGCTGATGCTGATGCTGATGCTGATGCTCATGCTGATTCTGATGCTGATGCTGATGCTGATGCGCTGATGCTGATGCTGATGCTGATGCGCTGATGCTGATGCGCTGATGCTGATGCTGATGCTGATGCGCTGATGCTGATGCGCTGATGCTGATGCTGATGCGCTGATGCTGATGCTGATGCTGATGCTAATGCGCTGATGCTGATGCTGATGCTGATGCTGATGCGCTGATTCTGATGCTGCTGATGCTGATGCTGATGCTGATGCGCTGATGCTGATGCTGATGCTAATGCGCTGATGCTGATGCTGATGCTGATGCTGATGCGCTGATTCTGATGCTGCTGATGCTGATGCTGATGCTGATGCGCTGATGCTGATGCTGATGCTAATGCGCTGATGCTGATGCTGATGCTGATGCTGATGCGCTGATTCTGATGCTGCTGATGCTGATGCTGATGCTGATGCGCTGATGCTGATGCTAATGCTGATTCTGATGCTGATGCTGATGCGCTGATGCTGATGCTGATGCTGATGCGCTGATGCTGATGCGCTGATGCTGATGCGCTGATGCTGATGCGCTGATGCTGATGCTGCTGATGCTGATGATGATGCTGAAGCTGATGCTGATGCGCTGATGCTGATGCTGCTGATGCTGATGCTGATGCTGAGGCTGATGCTGATGCCGATGCTGATGCTGATGCGGATGCTGATGCGGATGCTGATGCTGATGCTGATGCGCTGATGCTGATGTGCTGATGCTGATGCTGATGCTGATGCTGATGCTGATTCTGATGCTGATGCGCTGATGCTGATGCTGATGCTGATGCGCTGATGCTGATGCGCTGATGCTGATGCTGATGCTGATTCTGATGCTGATGCGCTGATGCTGATGCTGATGCTGATGCGCTGATGCTGATGCGCTGATGCTGATGCTGATGCTGATGCTGATGCTGATGCTGATGCGCTGATGATGATGCTGATGCTGATGCGGATTCTGATGCGGATGCTGATGCTGATGCTGATGCTGATGCTGATGCTGATGCGCTGATGCTGATGCGCTGATGCTGATGCTGATGCTGATGCGCTGATGCTGATCCTGATGCTGATGCTGATGCGCTGATGCTGATGCTGATGCTGATGCTGATGCTGATGCTGATTCTGATGCTGATGCTGATGCTGATGCGCTGATGCTGATGCTGATGCTGATGCGCTGATGCTGATGCGCTGATGCTGATGCTGATGCTGATGCTGATGCTGATGCTGATGCTGATGCGCTGATGCTGATGCGCTGATGCTAATGCTGATGCTGATGCTGATGCGCTGATGCTGATGCTGATGCTGATGCTGATGGGCTGATGCTGATGCTGATTCTGATGCTGATGCGCTGATGCTGATGCTGATGCTGATGCTGATGCGATGATGCTGATGCTGATGCTGATGCGCTGATGCTGATGCTGATGCTGATGCGCTGATGCTGATGCGCTGACGCTGATGCGCTGATGCTGATGCGCTGATGCTGATGCTGATGCTGATGCTGATGCTGATGCTGATGCTGATGCTGATGCTGATGCGGATGCTGATGCGGATGCTGATGCTGATTCGGATGCTGATGCTGATGCTGATGCGCTGATGCTGATGCGCTGATGCTGATGCAGATGCTGATGCTGATGCTGATGCTGATGCGGATGCTGATGCTGATGCGCTGATGCTGATGCTGATGCTGATGCGCTGATGCTGATGCTAATGCTGATTCTGATGCTGATGCTGATGCGCTGATGCTGATGCTGATGCGCTGATGCTGATGCTGATGCTGATGCGCTGATGCTGATGCGCTGATGCTGATGCGCTGATGCTGATGCGCTGATGCTGATGCTGCTGATGCTGATGATGATGCTGAAGCTGATGCTGATGCGCTGATGCTGATGCTGCTGATGCTGATGCTGATGCTGAGGCTGATGCTGATGCTGATGCTGATGCGGATGCTGATGCGGATGCTGATGCTGATGCGCTGATGCTGATGCGCTGATGCTGATGCTGATGCTGATGCTGATGCTGATGCTGATGCGCTGATGCTGATGCTGATGCTGATTCTGATGCTGATGCGCTGATGCTGATGCTGATGCTGATGCGCTGATGCTGATGCGCTGATGCTGATGCTGATGCTGATGCGCTGATGCTGATGCTGATGCTGATGCGGATTCTGATGCTGATGCTGATGCTGATGCTGATGCTGATGCTGATGCGCTGATGCTGATGCGCTGATGCTGATGCGCTGATGCTGATGCTGATGCTGATGCTGATGCTGATGCTGATGCTGATGCGCTGATGCTGATGCTGATGCTGATGCTGATGCTCATGCTGATTCTGATGCTGATGCTGATGCTGATGCGCTGATGCTGATGCTGATGCTGATGCGCTGATGCTGATGCGCTGATGCTGATGCTGATGCTGATGCGCTGATGCTGATGCGCTGATGCTGATGCTGATGCGCTGATGCTGATGCTGATGCTGATGCTAATGCGCTGATGCTGATGCTGATGCTGATGCTGATGCGCTGATTCTGATGCTGCTGATGCTGATGCTGATGCTGATGCGCTGATGCTGATGCTGATGCTAATGCGCTGATGCTGATGCTGATGCTGATGCTGATGCGCTGATTCTGATGCTGCTGATGCTGATGCTGATGCTGATGCGCTGATGCTGATGCTAATGCTGATTCTGATGCTGATGCTGATGCGCTGATGCTGATGCTGATGCTGATGCTGATGCGCTGATGCTGATGCGCTGATGCTGATGCGCTGATGCTGATGCTGCTGATGCTGATGATGATGCTGAAGCTGATGCTGATGCGCTGATGCTGATGCTGCTGATGCTGATGCTGATGCTGAGGCTGATGCTGATGCCGATGCTGATGCTGATGCGGATGCTGATGCGGATGCTGATGCTGATGCTGATGCGCTGATGCTGATGTGCTGATGCTGATGCTGATGCTGATGCTGATGCTGATTCTGATGCTGATGCGCTGATGCTGATGCTGATGCTGATGCGCTGATGCTGATGCGCTGATGCTGATGCTGATGCTGATTCTGATGCTGATGCGCTGATGCTGATGCTGATGCTGATGCGCTGATGCTGATGCGCTGATGCTGATGCTGATGCTGATGCTGATGCTGATGCTGATGCGCTGATGATGATGCTGATGCTGATGCGGATTCTGATGCGGATGCTGATGCTGATGCTGATGCTGATGCTGATGCTGATGCGCTGATGCTGATGCGCTGATGCTGATGCTGATGCTGATGCGCTGATGCTGATCCTGATGCTGATGCTGATGCGCTGATGCTGATGCTGATGCTGATGCTGATGCTGATGCTGATTCTGATGCTGATGCTGATGCTGATGCGCTGATGCTGATGCTGATGCTGATGCGCTGATGCTGATGCGCTGATGCTGATGCTGATGCTGATGCTGATGCTGATGCTGATGCTGATGCTGATGCGCTGATGCTGATGCGCTGATGCTAATGCTGATGCTGATGCTGATGCGCTGATGCTGATGCTGATGCTGATGCTGATGGGCTGATGCTGATGCTGATTCTGATGCTGATGCGCTGATGCTGATGCTGATGCTGATGCTGATGCGATGATGCTGATGCTGATGCTGATGCGCTGATGCTGATGCTGATGCTGATGCGCTGATGCTGATGCGCTGACGCTGATGCGCTGATGCTGATGCGCTGATGCTGATGCTGATGCTGATGCTGATGCTGATGCTGATGCTGATGCGGATGCTGATGCGGATGCTGATGCTGATTCGGATGCTGATGCTGATGCTGATGCGCTGATGCTGATGCGCTGATGCTGATGCAGATGCTGATGCTGATGCTGATGCTGATGCGGATGCTGATGCTGATGCGCTGATGCTGATGCTGATGCTGATGCTGATGCTGATTCTGATGCTGATGCTGATGCTGATGCTGATGCTGATGCTGATTCTGATGCTGATGCTGATGCTGATGCTGATTCTGATGCTGATGCTAATGCTGATGCTGATGCTGATGCCGCTGCCTTCCCTTGGTACAGCAAGGCCCGTGCAGCAATGGAGCCCTCTGCACCGCACGAGACCACACACAGTGAGTAGTGCACCACGAGAAGCAATCAGGCCGTGCAGCGGACAGAGCAGCCAACAGCAATAAACAGATGCAAAAAAGAGAGCAGACCAAGTGAAATGGAGGAGTGGAGGGGGGTGATGGGGGTGATGGGGGTGATGGGAGCGTAAAAGAGTGTGGGTGCAGGTAAAGGGATGCACACCATACCACTATGGCAATGAGGTCACGGGCGTGGGTGCTGAGGACTGGTGGTGACTGGCGGCTGACTGTCGTTGACTGATGTTGACTGAGGTTGACTGAGGTTGACTGAGGTTGAAAGGAGCCGTGCTGCTGCATCCACTGCTCTGCTGCTCTACTGCCGGCACTCCATTCACCCTGAGACCAGAGGACGCATGGGGGAGAAGGAGATGCGAGGAGATTGGACTCGAACAGAGGGCAGGCAACGAACTCGGAATAAATGAAGCAGCAAGCATAACATGGATGCGCATGTGTATTACAGCGAGAATCGAGGGGTGGGAGGGGGGAACGGGGAAGGCGCATGGCGACAGTGGCCCACGGCACTAGAGCAGCGAGCTGAGCCAGTGGGGGGGGACTGGGGGACGCACGCATGGCATGAATGCACCCCCTCTCCACTACTCTATCCCACCACTCCCACTACACTGCACGCTACATGAGCTCTGCTGAAATAGCACCACGGACCATCACCACCATGCGCCAAGGGACGAATGTGCCTTGAGAATTGCCAAGAGTGAACGAGACGGATGGGGAGCAAGGGAGGACGGTGGGGGGCGGTGAGGGAACTTAGCTAAGAAGAAGCGTAGAGGCTGAAAGTGACTCGTCCAAGGGAGGAGCAGCAAGCAGCAGCATCACCGTTCCGCACACCGTCGCACGCAGCAACTCTGCCACTCCGCACGTGGCCGCCCAGTGAGTGGCCATTCCGCACAGCATCGCACGCAGCTCGTCACTGTCGCGTCGCCATACTGCACTCGTCGCACCCAGGTCGTCGCAGTTCCGCCTGCACCCATTGGCCCGATGGGGGGAAAGGCACGGCGAGACGGAGTTGCGAAGAGATTAGCTTCGGGCAGAGGGCAGAGGGCAGAGGGCAGGCGATGAGCTCGGACTGAATGCAACAGAAAGCGCAGCAAGCAATGGAGTAGCATTGGAGGCAAAAACTCAGATGTGGGAAAAGAGCAGGTCAAAGTGGCCAAAGAGCATAAGCAGTGGAGAGCAAGACAGAAGCAGTGGACTTGAAACTTGAGTGGTGGAGTGGGGAGGAGAGGAAACGAGGCTGCGGGCTGCAGGCTGAGTGCAACGCAGCTGAGGGCGCGAGCAACGCAGCTGAGGGTGCGTGCGTTGTAGCTGCAGCTGGTGAGCTGTAATATCATGCCATGCCATGTACCACAGCAAGCCAGACACGGTGAGTGCAGCTCAAAGAGCCACCAGGCACAGCAGAGCAGACAGAACGCAGCAGACAGACCAGGCAGCAGCAGCAATAGACAGAGAAAAGAGCCAAGAGAGGGTGAGTGCAGTGAAACGGAGGAGCAAAGGGGAAAGCGGGTGCAGTCAAAACGGAGGAGCGAGCGAGAGAGTGGCTGCAGTGAAAGGGATGCATATCGTACCACAATGGCATGGCACAGGCGTGGTTGTTGGGGACTTGAGTTGACTGCCAGGCTCCTGCAGCCACCGTTGCGAGTGCCTGGCTTGCACCATCCCACTGCCGCCCCTCCATGCGCCTCCTCCCTCCACTGCCTCTCCTTGGAACAGCAAGGCCGGTGCAGCATATAGAGCCAGCACGCCCCTGCAGGCAGCAAGGCCGGTGCAGCATATAGAGCCAGCACGCCCCTGCAGGCAGCAAGGCCGGTGCAGCATATAGAGCCAGCACGCTCCTGCAGGCAGCAGCACAGGGAGCCACACACAGTGAGTGCAAGCACGAGGAGCGCTGTTGACCGGTGTTGGCATGCTGACTGCCGTGCTGCTGCAGCGCAGGAATCGTGGGGAGTGGAGGAAGCGAGGTGGGAGAGGAGGGCTGGATGGCCCTTAGGAGGAGGAAGCGAGGGGTGTGGAGGAAGCGAGGTGGAGAGGAGGGCGGTAGATAGGCAGGCCGACAGAGAGGCAGGGAGGTAGGGAAACAGGTCGACAGGGTGGTAGTGAGGCAGGGAAGCAGGGCAACAGGGAGTAAGGGAGGTGGGCGCGTGGAGCAGGGAGGGGGGTGTGTGGAGCAGGGAAGTGTGCATATGAGAGGAATAACGAGGCATGTGGGTGTCAAAGAATGGAGAAACGCATCAGCCAGGCATTATTTTTCACCCACTAGCCGAGTATCCACCTGCCCAAGCAGCCCTCCCTCCCTTGCAGCACCCCCCCACCCTCCCTCAGCCCTCACCCACCTGCCTTAATGATCCGAGGCCCTGCTTGAGATGCTCCAGCAGCTGCGGTGCGCACATGGGCTCCGTGCTCTGATGCCCCGCGTAGCAGAGGAATGGAGATGCGGGGGGAATGCGGACAGACAACGGGGTTGCAGGAGAGGGAGAAGAACAGGTGTGAGGAGGAAGGGGGAGACGGATGACGAGTTCTCAGCTGGGTCGGCAGGAATAGAAAAGGGTGTGCTTAATGCTGTGAGTCACATGGCAGCACTCACGTCGCAGCAGCAATCACATTGCAAGAAGGCACTTTCTTGAGCTGCCTGGGCGGACAGGGAGGTGTGTATCGTTGTGCCCCAATGCCCGTCTCATCATCCCACCCCTCATCGCCACCACAACCACCATCGCCTCTTTTCTTCCCACCCTTCTCTGCCCCTTCCCCACCCTCCATTGCACCTTCCTCCACCTCTCCAGTCTTAGCAGACTCATCCCCAGCTGCCCCTCCTTTCCTCCGTTGCTTGCTCTGCCTCCCAACGAATGCCTCCCTCTGCTGTTTCCCCTTCCCTCCCTTCCCACCTCTCCCCTGCCCAGCATGCGTATGAGCATCAGTATGCTGAGAGGAATGGAAGGAGGCCGCTTCAGCAAGCAGCATAGACACTGAGATGTCTTCAAACGGAAAGTCCACATGCCATGCCACGCTGTCCGCACTCTGCTTCACACCAGAGCGCCCCTGCTTCTTCCCATCCCCCTCCGTCCCTTGACCATTCTCTTCAATGTCATCTCCCGCTGTTTCAAGGCGCCTCTTTCCCTTCATCCTTCTCTCTCTCTGCACTGTACTGCCTTCGTCCTCGTCCTCATCCTCATCCTTCTCCTCGCTCCCCACCTCCGCTGCACCAACTGCCCCATGTTGGCTCTCCTCTCCTCGCAAGCCCCGCCCAGAAGCTGCGGCAACAGGAGAGGCCTGACGGCGCGACTGTGGCACGGATGGGTGGAGATGCAAAGTGGGCTGTGACTGCGGCGCAGGAGGGAAAACGTGAGCGAGGAAGTCAGCATGGATACGGTGGAGAGCTGCTGTGAGCGCGGAGTGGAATGCAGCTCTCCTCTTGTCTGCCAGCCTGACAGCTCTGCGATGTGGTATGCGTTGCTGTGTACCTGGAGAATAATGGAGGATGTTGAGGAATGAGAGGAAGTGAGTGAGTGCACACAAGACAACTGGGAGGCAAAACCAGCTGGGAGGGAAAAAGAGAGGTGGGAAGCAGACAAGCCAGGTTCATGTCACAGGTGGGTGGCGTTGGTTACGCCACAACCAACTAACCTCTCTACAGCACTCACCTTGCATCACCATGCCTCCCCGTTTGATCTGCTGCTCTGGTGGACAATGATAAACACGAAACAGAAGCGGTAAGGATGGCAAGGGCGAAGGGAGAGGGAACTTAGCCGTATGGGGGTGCTTGCAGGACAGTGGCGTGAGGCTTCCAGGAGGCTCGCACACCGCTGTGACTGCCTGCCGTGCGTCATCCCACCGCCCTCCCTCCCCGCACCACGCTGCCATAGCACCAGACAAGAGGGGTGGAGCAAAGAAGAGCAAGAGAACCTAAATAGTCAGTAGACGAAACAAAGAAGTGTAATGCATGCAAGGAGGCAGAGATAACACGAACGGTGAGTAGAGGAAACAAAAGTTGAAGATAAAAAGCACGTGGCACTGTGACGCTGTGAAAGGGGAGGCGATGGTAGCACACAGCACTAGGGCGCAGAGCTAGCAGGCAAATAAGGATGGGACGCAGCATGATTATGAATGCATTCTATTCTAACCCCCTACGACTCTAGTATGAGCTCAAGCCGCCCCAGTGCCATGCGCTACCATCGCCAGACGCCGCTCATCTCTCACTCAACTTTTGATCGCTCCCATTCGAAAATGGGCTCATTTGTTTCGAGCAAGCGGTGACGGAAGAATGTGGTACAAAAGTGGGCAATGATAAACACAAAGCAAAAGCGGTAAGGATGGCAAGGGCGAAGGGAGAGGGAACTCAGCCGTATGGGGTGCTTGCAGGACAGTGGCGTCAGGCTTCCAGGAGGCTCGCACACCGCTGTGACTGCCTGCCGTGCGTCATCCCACCGCCCTCCCTCCCCGCACCACGCTGCCATAGCACCGGACGAGATGGGAAGGAGAGCAAGAAAACAGAGCAGGGGAAAGGGACCCAAGTAGTCAGTAGAAGCAGTGAAATGCATGCAAGGAGGCAGAGATAACAAGAACGATGAGTAGAGGAAACGAAAGTTAAAGATAAAAAGCACGTGGAACTGTGACGCTGTGAAAGGGGAGGCGATGGTAGCACACAGCACTAGGGCGCCGAGCTAGCAGGCAAATTAGGAAGGGACGCAGCATGATTATGAATGCATTTACTTTAACCCCCTACGACTCTAGTATGAGCTCAAGCCGCCCCAGTGCCATGCGCTACCATCGCCTTGCGAAAGTGTCGTTTTGGTTACGAGTATGCAGTGAGAAAACAAAGCCTTAAGAAACGAAAGCAATGACAGAAAGCGGTAAGGATGGCAAGGGAGCGGGTAAGGAGTTGAGGAGGAGACTTAGCTGAGCGACGGGAGCAGCAGCCGACGTTCCAAGATGCAACAGGATGCATCATTGCCGTCGACATCGCCGCCACATTAGCGTCGAATTCTCCTTCACCACCACCATCGATCGTCACCAGAAATCTTCAAGACTTCCCGTCGCCGTCGTCACAAAAACGCTGCCTCGATCGTCACCTCCATCTCCATACGACGGCGACTCGACCGTCAGCATCGACGAACACGTCGCAGACGTCAGCCTTCCACCATTCTGCCTTGATCGTCGACATCTCAGCCGGCAACTTGAGATTTCGCCGTCTTAAAGACGCCTCGTCACCTTCAGGACTCGCATTCAGCACGAATCGCCAATCGTCTCGCGATCTCAATCAGAATACGCCGTCCTAATCGCGCGACCCCCAAGACTCGCCATCGCAGTCATGAACGAGCTTGCGTCTCGCCGATCTTCAGTCGTCCCAATTACTAAGGCGCCGTCCGAAACTCCGAGGCGCATGATTTCGTCGCCATCAGAACTCCGCATCGGTATCGCCCTGGTCATCAACTCAATCAGACTTCTCCGCTTCGGTTTCGCCTTCACCGTCAACGCAGCTGCCGTCATCAACGTGATACCTTCCCGTCACCGTTGGAAGATCGCCGCCGTCGGATCTCCATGATACTCGACACCATGATCAGAAGACGTCAACCGTCACCGTCAGAAGATAATCGTCACCGTCAGAAGATAATATTCACCCTCAGAACTCCCAAAAGTACAACTTTTCACCGTCAGAAGACGTTGATCGACAGCCATGGATTCTAAGAAACCGAACGAGACTAATGTCTAGAAGTCCGAGCGAGAACGTAGTAGGAATGACTTTCAGGCAGTGGTTAGAGAAGTTCAGTGAAGAAGTTCAGGGAATGTAGAGAGAGATCCAGAGCGGTTTTCAGGGATTCACTGAGAGGGGTGAGACGAACGGATGAAGCAGCACCAAGTTCAAGGACGAAGCATCCGCTCCACTTTCCCTGCTGTGGTGGGGGCCGTCGTTCCATCGGCGGACAGCCGCAGTTTTGGCGCTGTTCTGCAGGCGTTAAATTGCAAGAAACTGGGTCCGCAGAATCTTCTCCGATAAGTGGGCTTCTGCCTATCAACATATGGTGATAAGCGCGTTCCGGCCAAACCTGCTTGCGCCAAATTTAACGCTGCAGAGTGCAGAACGCCACTTCTGGGGCACACAAATTTAACGGGGTGAAGATTCCACGATGTTGCTTCTCCAGGCAAATGTCCGCACAACTTGTGCGGACCCAATTCTGCCTCGAGAGGTAGCATCAGCCAGCGCACAACTTATGCGGGGCAGCAATTTGAGAGATTTGAGAGTTTGACGAGACTTCGTGGCAACACCGCCCAGCAAATTGAGAAATTTGACATTTGGTGCGGCGAGAAGCTACGGGGAAGGACTGGGACCGTACATTTGATGCGGAGGCAATAACGCCTACAGAACGCGGCCGTAGCTGTTCCATGCAGGGAGGTAGGGAACGTATGGGTGCTGTTCTGCAGGCGTTAAATTGCCAGAAACTGGGTCCGCAGAATCTTCCCCGATAAGCGCGCTTCTGCCTATCAAGGCTTGGTGATAAGCGCGGTCCTGCCAAACCTTTTTGCGCCAACTTTAACGCTTCAGCCTGCAGAACGCCACTTTTGGGGCACACAAATTTAACGAGGTGAAGGTTCCACGGTGTTGCATCTCCAGGCAAATGTCACCGAAACAAATCAGCTGAAGCGGGAGCTGATGCGCCAGGCAACCGACTTACCACGGGGTCTGGAGACATTCATGGCACATGAGAAACTTCTGAAAACCTGGGAGGGGAAGAGTCAGAGGTGGAAATTGGCATGCGCGAACTTCATGCGTTCGCCGTTAGCGACGACCACGGAAGCCCGCGAAACAACAGAGCTACTGCTGGAGAGAATTACGTTCAACAGGCACATCCTCCTGAAAGGAACCACGCCTGTGGGGGGGCAGTTAGCAGCGAAGCGGCTCCTTGGCGTTCGGCTGGGAGATCTCATCACCAGAGATGCGGAAGGGCGGGGGACGCTGAAAAGCATTGAAACCCTTGAGAGAGAGCTGCGGGGGAGGGACTCGGCAAGCCTTGCACTCAAGGCCTTTGCAGCAGCGCCTGAAGAGTGGAGGAATCAGCTTGTCTCTGTCGTGCTTCCCAACGTGGGATTTGTGGAAGAGTTTGATGTGGGGAGAAGGGGTCCCCTCCAGCTCCGGAGGAAATTGCTGGCGGAAGGAGGTGTGACTCCACTGCGCGCGCTCAGAAGGTATTGGAAACATGGTGACAGCGGGGAAATTAGGCGGAAGAAGTGGGCGAGCCGTTGGGGTGGCAGCATCGACTGGAAGCGGGCAGTGCAGATCCGGGAATCTCTGGTCACCCCGAGTCGTCCGAGGGACGTTCTGCTGCGCATACACTGCCTTAACTTACAAGTTGGGGAGAGGCTGGAGTTTCTCAGCAGCGAACCAGCCTGCCCGCACTGCAACGAGTTTGAAACTCTAGAACACTGTTTTTTGGCTTGCCCAAGAATTCAAGGGGTGGTGTCGGCGGTTACAAAGGCTTTACGAGTGATCAACCCGTCCAGGAAAGGGGACTCGCTTGGTGATTGGCTGTTTGGGAAGGCGGGATCCCTGTCAGCCTTTCCGGAGGCATCATTGGTGGCGATCGCCCTTCATCAGCTGTGGGCGGAAAGGTGTGAAGGGGCATTCAGGGGCTGCAAGTTCCGCACGCGGAGAGTGCTGCGGAGGATTGAGTCAGCTTTCCGCATGCACGTGAATGTCTATCTGCGTGCCTCGGCGGTGAGGGTACAACGGCGGGGAAAGAGTCAGCATGCGAGGTGGCAAAAAATGACGGATCAAGAACGCAAACTTCTGGACCGTATCAGAGTGGTGGATGGCAAAGGCTGGAAATGGAACAACAGCTTCGCGGCAATATGGGGCAAACCACGCAGGCCCCGGATCCATGCTTGAGGATCGAATTTGTTTCTGAGGCGGGCCTTCCTGTCTCTCATGCACAGTTACGACTGTTTATGAGTTGTACACTTGTCTGTTCCAGTGTATAATTCATATAAGCAAAAAAAAAAAAAAAAAAAAATCTCCAGGCAAATGTTTGCATTACTTGTGCGCTGCCAATTCAGCCTCGAGAGCCAGCATCAGCCAGCGCACAAGTTATGCAGGGCAGCAATTTGTGAGATTCGAGTTTTCGAGCGAGCTTCGTGGCAACACCCCCCATTTTTTTTGAGAAATTAGGCATTTGGTGCGGCCAGAAGCTACAAGGAAGGACAAGTTCTGTACGCGGAGGCAATAACGCCTACAGAACAGCGCCATGGATGAGCTGAACTCCAATATTATGGAATTTTGTGCAATACGTCTTCTGCGAAACACTTTTATATACATGCATAACTTAAAACGAAGCTGCTTGTAATGGCAACGCTGAAGTGCTCACTTCCTTACCATGTCCAATTATTCAATTCTATACAAACAGCAGCATATTAAAGCCCGAGTACAGCATGGTAATTTTCAAGTTCAAGATTCTTGAACTTGAAGTCGCCAAAAACAGGGTTACCTTACTTGTTTTGAGAAAATTCTCGCGACCCCAGGCAATCGTCCTGCGACAACGGAACCCGAGTGCCCAAAATTAGAAGTGACGCGATGATCGCCAACCATTTGTACTGTTCACCACTCACATAACTTGCTTACCAAGTAGTACTCATAGGCTAGAAGGCTCGAAGGCAAAAACTAGTGCTAGTTGGCAAAAACGAGTCGTTGATAGGCTTTTTTTTTTTTTTTTTGCGGAAGGAAATATAAGTCCACCTCAACCATCTTAGTCAGTGCACGCTCCGATCTCTCCCTCACGTCACCGGTCTCGTGTTACAACCCGTACACCCACGACAGTTACGTTAGTAAACGAGATTCGCGTTACTCGAGTCTTGCATTCAAGCTCGCGTCGCACACGCAGGCTCTTGTCACACTTGTTGCCATTCAGCCTCGTGTCACGATCGTACCGTTTTAGGCACGGGTCGCTCACGCGAATGCCGTACTGGTTCGCGTGACGCACTCAGGCGTTGAGGAACAAACGGGGAGGAACAGATGGGGAGGAGCAGATGGGGAGGAACAGACGGGGACGTTTGTCCTTATCGCCAACCCCTACCCACGTCGCCATCGACACCATCGTGTGTAGCAACTCCCTCATACGCCCTTGCTCCGTCCAGCCGCAGTGAGTGCCTACTGATATGATGGGCAGAGCGGGAGGGACAGAGGGGGATGACCAGCTGAGGGGGGGATGGTGTCACATTGAAAGCTTGATTGATGGGCGGTGGACAGGAAGGGAATGGGCTCGGGAGATGGGAAGGACAGAAGGGTAAGGACAAAGGGGGAGAGACAGAGGGGGGAGGAACAGGGGGGAGGGCAGAGGGGGAGAGATAGAGGGGGGAGTGTCAAGATAGTGAGTGTAGTAGGAGCTAGGTTTAGGTAGGGCCTAGGCTTAGTAGCCTAGGCCAAGGGGAGTCGAGATAGTTGTGGCAAGGAGAAGTCGAGAATGGGAATGATGCAATATAAGAAACAAGTACAAGTTATAGTTCAGGAAGGGTGCACCACCAAGCAAGAACAAATGTATGACTACGCTAAAGCTAGAATTACATGCAGTTATATATAATTCTGACATCCCCCCGTAACTGCATGCAGGAATAGCTAAGTGAAAGACACAACCTGCAGGGGTACACTACAGACAGAGAAAACAGCAACAGCAAGCAAGGCAGCAGAATAGGTTCGGCAGCAAAGGGGCAGGCGACAGCAAGGCACTTCTGCCATCCCCTTACTCTCCTTCCCCCTCGACCACAGGAGGGGCGGCAGGGAGAGAGAGGAGGCGGCCTGGCGCTGGCTGGTCACCCCCTCCATCCCCTCACCCTCCCCCCCACACTGCTGCAGGAGCAGCAGAGGGGGGAAGAGAGGAGAGGTGGAGGGACGGCTGCTGGTTGGTCTCACACCCGCCACCCCAGTGCCACTCCCCCGACTCCCCCACACCCTCACACCCTCCCCCCCAGCGGCAGCTGCAGCAGTGGGGACGAAAGGAGGAGGAGGAGAAGGGAAGCACACCACCCATCACCTCCACACCCGCCACCCCCATACCCTCCCCCCCACGGCTGCAGGGAGACGAAGGAGGAGGGGGGGGGGGGGGGGCGGGGAGAAAGCTGCAGAGCGGCTACAGAGGGCCGGCGCAGGTAGGGCAGGGGCGGCTGCAGCAAGTGTAGGCGCGGGGTGAGGCAGAGGCGGCTGCACCGAGTGCAGGAGCGGGGGCGGTTGCTCCAAGGGCAGGCGCTAGGTGGTTCAGAGGCGGCTGCACCGAGTGCAGGCGTGGGTGAGGCAGGGGCACCGTCGCGGGCGCCAGGGGCGGGTCCGCGGCGGCTCAGGGCACCGTCGCGGGCGCCAGGGGCGGGTCCGCGGCGGCGCCGGGCACCGTCGCGGGCACCAGGGGCGGGTCCGCGGCGGCTCAGAACACCGTCGCGCGCGCTAGGGGCGGGTCCGCGGCGGCTCAGGGCACCGTCGCGGGCGCCAGGGGCGGGTCCGCGGCGGCTCAGGGCACCGTCGCGCACCACAGGGCACGCGACGGGCAGTTCAGGGCACCGTCGCGTGCCACGGGGCGCACGACGGGCAGGGCACCGTCGCGTGCCACGGGGCGCACAACGGGCAGGGCACCGTCGCATGCCACAGGGCGCGCGACGGGCAGAAAAGATGTCACGCGCCACCCGGGCGTGGGAAAGGACGAAAATCGCCACGCGCCCGAGACGCGCGACCGGAAGAACAGTAGCGGAAGCGTGAGGCGGGCCCACAGGCTTGGACTTAACAGGCTTTGATTCCATGTCAAGATAGTGAGTGTAGTAGGAGCTAGGTTTAGGTAGGGCCTAGGCTTAGTAGCCTAGGCCAAGGGGAGTCGAGATAGTTGTGGCAAGGAGAAGTCGAGAATGGGAATGATGCAATATGAGAAACAAGTACAAGTTATAGTTCAGGAAGGGTGCACCACCAAGCAAGAACAAATGCATGACTACACTATAGCTAGAACTACATGCAGTTATATATAATTCTGACAGGGAGGAACAAGGGGGAGGGCAGAGGGGGAGAGACAGAGGGCGAAGGGCCGAGAGGGAGAGACAGAATGGGAAGGATGGAGGGGGAGGAACAGAGGGAGAAGGGCAGAGAGTGAGAGACAGAGGTGAGAGCGGGTTTACCGCCCAATCTATTGTCCTTTGCCTCACCTGCTTCCCCCCTCCCTCCTCCCTCCTTCCCCCCTCCCTTCCCCCTGCTTCCCCCCTCCCTCCACCATGCTTCTCCCCTCCCTCCTCCTTGCTTCCCCCCTTCATCCTCCCTGCTTCCCCCCTCCTTCCGCCCTGGGTCCCCCCTCCCTCCGCCCTGCTTCCCCCCTCCCTCCGCCCTGCTTCCCCCCTCCTTCCGCCCTGCTTCCCCCCTCCCTCCGCCCTACTTCCCCCCTCCCTAAGTCCTACTTCCCCTCTCCCTGCGCCCTGCTTCCCCCCTCCCTCCGCCCTGCTCCCCCCCTCCCTAAGTCCTGCTTCCTCTCTCCCTGCGCCCTGCTTTCCTGCTTTCCCCCATCCCCTTCCCTGCTTCCCCCCATCCCCTTCCCTGCTTCCCCCCGTCCCCTTCCTTGCTTCCCCCCATCCCCTTCCCTGCTTCCCCCCATCCCCTTCCCTGCTTCCCCCCATCCCCTTCCCTGCTTCCCCCCATCCCCTTCCCTGGTTCCCCCCAACCCCTCCCCTTCTCTACACGGTGCGTAGCAACACACACGCGCATGCATAAGTTCTTCGATGACTGGATCCCCTGGCACAAGTGATGAGCATCTCTCTCTCACTCTGCCACCGCAATGCTGCCCCCCCTTGTGCCTGCCGCCTGCTGTCCACGCCTTCCATTCCACCTCTCCCAAACCACGTCTTTTTCAAATGTGCTCGATCCCTTTGGCTCTTCCACTCACTCCACTCTCTCCCCATTCCTCCCCCTTTGCTTTCAATGCTTTTTTGCACCTACTCAGCACTTGAAATGTTGTATTTTTCTGAAGTGAAGTCTCAAAACCATCCAAACATTTTAGTAAATTAGAAATTGTAAAAATAGTGTTCAGTGTACTGCCTCACTCTCACTCGCGTGAGTTTCGCGTTGCCCACCATTTCAATCTCAAGAGAAGCGCAGCGTGCCCCACCAGTGGTAGGGCTGGAGCAGTGCTCTGTCGCACACAAAGTCGTTCGGCCCTCCCATATCCTCGGAAACAACTGCCGCATAGTATCGTATCGTGGCGAAGGTTGTTTTACCCGCCTTCTGAATTCGCTTTCGCCCCACACACATTCTCGAAATAAACGTTTTTTTTTTGGGTTGCGAAGCAACTCTTTACAATCGATTTTGCTAAATTTTATTTTCATATTTATATTTAATAAAACATGAAAGTAAAATTCGTAAACTACAGTAATACCCTTCCCATACCATGCATGTTGAGCAGTTTTGAATATTGTTCACTATCTTTTGGGCAATGATTTTCCTTCAATTTGATAGTTTGTTGTACTGTTTGCAGTATTTTTTTACCGTGCTGTTAAGTGCAATGATAATTACGTGAGTCATGAAATACATCATAAATGTGTTACGCATGCTTATATGAATGTAATGAAACAAGTGGAATAGATGTTTATGCATTGAGAATGTTTTAGTATGCATAACGTTTAATGTGGAATATTAAAACGCACGTGTGCATGATGGTAAATGGATAAAAATGCGTGATCGTTAACAACACAAAAGCTAAGCTACCGCATCCCCTGCCTAGCATGGGGGGGAGGTCAATAGCTTAGTTTTTGAATAATCAACTACCACACGAAACAACACAATATGTGAAGTCTAAAAAAGAAGTCAACTCTATCAAATCCAGCTCGAAGTGGTCGCACACGAGTCAGTGAGTGCGCCAATGAACCTTTTGTGAAATGATAGATCTGAGCTTCTTTTTTTAAAATCACAGACATGCATTGTTATTGCAATGGATATGGATGAATGCATACAACCACAGCACACACACACACACACACACACACACACACACATACAAACGCATATACAAGATCACACAACTTCACGCAAACACTAAAGCTCAATGCACAAACTGTAAAAACAATCAAACATCAACACAATACAATACCATACAAACGATCCTACATGGCACCACAACTGTCATCTTTCCACTTCTAAAATTGAACATGCCTTCCCGAAATGTACACCAAAGCCTCTGGGGGGTAGGAAAGGGAGAATCAGAAAGGGTGAAAAGAGAAGGGAGGGGGGGAAAGGAGGGAGATATTGATGCCAACTTTGAAAAGCAACTCCACAAGCTGACTTTTTGAACACAGATAGCAAGGAAATGCACACAACCTAAACGACGTCGTATATCAATATCTAGATGTTCAAATGTCACGATACAAATGAAGGCATAATTCAGAAAGCAAGTGATACGTTCCAAGTAAAGAAAGAAAGAAACAAAAGTTAGTATACAAAGTCCACAGGAGTATGAAAATGAATAGGCATATAACAGAGGAAACATTGTAGTAGATAACAGATGAAAACAGGAGACAATAATAGGGATGGGGGCACAGAAAAGAAAGACAGAAAATACGCAACAAAGAACGACGAAATGACTGAAGCAATAATGAGAGCATGTAGGACGGAAAGCATCCACAGAGACAAGAAAACGCGAAAAGGGAAAAACAAATAACAGAAATCATACGTACTTAAATATCAAGTGAAGGAGGTCGGTAAGAAAGTAACGGTGGAACTGCTAAATATGAAACATACCGAAACATGCTGTTTAACATGCTATGCAGGAACGCGACATTATACTAGAAGATGTATCCAAAACAGATAGAACGGTGAAAGCGAAATATGCAAGACTAAGGGTGTGTTAGAATCAACAACAGTAATTGCACTACCCCGCCCCATTCTCCCGCTTTCCATCACCCCGCCCCATTCTCCCGCTTTCCATCACCCTGTCCCATTCTCCCGCTTTCCATCACCCCGCCCCATTCTCCCGCTTTCCATCACCCTGTCCCATTCTCCCGCTTTCCATCACCCCGCCCCATTCTCCCGCTTTCCATCACCCCACCCCATTCTCCCACTTTCGATCACCCCGCCCCATTCTCCCGCTTTCCATCACCCCTCAATCCATCACCCCTCTCTCCTGCTTTCCATCACCCCTCCCCATTCTCCCTCCTTCCATCACCCCGCCCTATTCTCCCTCCTTCCATCACCCCACCCCATTCTCCCGCTTTCCATCACCCCGCCCCATTCTCCCGCTTTCCATCACCCCGCCCCATTCTCCCGCTTTCCATCACCCCGCCCCATTCTCCCGCTTTCCATCACCCCGCCCCATTCTCCCGCTTTCCATCACCCCGCCCCATTCCCCCGCTTTCCATCACCCCGCCCCATTCTCCCAATTTCCATCACCCCGCCCCATTTTCCCTCCTTCCATCACCCCGCCCCATTCTCCCTCCTTCCATCACCCTGTTCCTTTCTCCCGCTTTCCATCACCCCGCCCCAGTCTCCCGGTTCCATCACCCCACCCCATTCTCCAACTTTCCATCACCCCGCCCCATTCTCCCGCATTCCATCACCCCGCCCCATTCTCCCTCCTTCCATCACCCTGTTCCTTTCTCCCGCTTTCCATCACCCCGCCCTAGTCTCCCGCTTTCCATCACCCCGCCCCATTCTCCAACTTTCCATCACCCCGCCCCATTCTCCCGCTTTCCATCACCCCACCCCTTTCTCCCTCCTTCCCTCACCCCACCCCATTCTCCCTGCTTCCATCACCCCGCCCCATTCTCCCGCTTTCCATCACCCCGCCCCATTCTCCCGCTTTCCATCACCCCGCCTTATTCTCCCGCTTTCCATCACCCCGCCCCATTCTCCCACTTTCCATCACCCGGCCCCGTTCTCCCGCTTTCCATCACCCCGAACCTTTCTCCCTCCTTCTATCACCCCGCCCCATTCTCCCTCCTTCCATCACCCCGCCCCATTCTCCCTCCTTCCATTACCCCGCCCCATTCTCTCGCTTTCCATCACCCCGCCCCATTCTCCCGCTTTCCATCACCCCGCCCCATTCTCCCGCTTTCCATCACCCCGCCCCATTCACCCGCTTTCCATCACCCCGCCCCATTCTCTCACTTTCCGTCACCCCGCCCCATTCTCCCGCTTTCCATCAGCCCACCCCATTCTCCCCCTCTCCATCACCCCGCCCCATTCTCCCGCTTTCCATCATCCCGCCCCATTCTCCCTCCTTCCATCACCCCGCCCCATTCTCCCGCATTCCATCACCCCGCCCCATTCTCCTGCTTTCCATCACCCCGCTCCATTCTCCCGCTTTCCATCACCCTACCCCATTCTCCCGCTTTCCACCACCCCGCCCCATTCTCCCGCTTTCCATCACCCCGCCCCATTCTCCTGCTTTCCATCATTACGCCCCATTCTCCCTCCTTCCATCACCCTGCCCTATTCTCCCTACTTCCATCACCCCGCCCCATTCTCCCGCTTTCCATCACCCCGCCCCTTTCTCCCTCCTTCCATCACCCCGCCCCATTCTCCCGCTTTCTATCACACCGCCCCATTCTCCCGCTTTCCATCACCCTGCCCCATTCTCCCGCTTTCCACCACCCCGCCCCATTCTCCCGCTTTCCATCACCCCGCCCCATTCTCCTGCTTTCCATCATTACGCCCCATTCTCCCTCCTTCCATCACCCTGCCCTATTCTCCCTACTTCCATCACCCCGCCCCATTCTCCCGCTTTCCATCACCCCGCCCCTTTCTCCCTCCTTCCATCACCCCGCCCCATTCTCCCGCTTTCTATCACACCGCCCCATTCTCCCGCTTTCCATCACCCCACCCCATTCTCCCACTTTCCATCACCCCACCCCATTCTCCCGCTTTCCATCACCCCGCCCCATTCTCCCGCTTTCCATCACCCCGCCCCATTCTCCCACTTTCCATCACCCCGCCTCATTCTCCCGCTTTCCATCACCCCGCCCCATTCTACCTCCTTCCATCACCCTGCCCCGTTCTCCCGCTTTCCATCACCCCGCCCCATTCTCCCGCTTTCCATCACCCTGCCCCATTCTCCCGCTTTCCATCGCCCCGCCCCATTCTCCCGCTTTCCATCGCCCCGCCCCATTCTCCCGCTTTCCATCACCCCGCCCCATTCTCCCTCCTTCCATCACCCCGGCCCATTCTCCCTCCTTCCATCACCCCGCCTTATTCTCCCGCTTTCCATCACCCCGCCCAATTCTCCCTCCTTCCATCACCCCACCCCATTCTCCCGCTTTCCATCACCCTGCCCCAATCTCCCGCTTTCCATCACCCCGCCCCATTCTTCTGCTTTCCATCACCCCGCCCCATTCTCCCGCTTTCCATCACCCCGCCCCATTCTCCCGCTTTCCATCACCCCGCCCCATTCTCCCGCTTTCATTCACACCGCCCCATTCTCCCGCTTTCCATCACCCCGCCCCATTCTCCCGCTTTCCATCACCCCGCCCCATTCTCCTGTTTTCCATCACCCCGCCCCATTCTCCCGCTTTCCATCACCCCGCCCCATTCTCCCCGTTTCCATCACCCCTCCCCTTTCTCCTGTTTTCCATCACCTTGCCCCATTCTCCCTCCTTCCATCACCCTGCTCCATTCTCCCGATTTCCATCACCCCGCCCCAATCTCCCGCTTTCCATCACCCCACCCCATTCTCCCACTTTCCATCACCCCGCCCGATTCCCCCGCTTTCCATCACCCCACCCCATTCTCCCCATTTCCATCACCCCGCCCGATTCTCCCTCCTTCCATCACCCCGCCCGATTCTCCCTCCTTCCATCATCCCGCCCCATTCTCCCGCTTTCTACCACCCCGCCCCATTCTCCCGCTTTCCATCACCCCATCCCATTCTCCCACTTCCCATCACCCCGCCCTATTCTCCCGCTTTCCATCACCCCGCCTCATTCTCCCGCTTTCCATCATCTCGCCCCATTCTCTCTCCTTCCATCACCCCGCCCCATTCTACCTCCTTCCATCACCCTGCCCCGTTCTCCCGCTTTCCATCACCCCGCCCCATTCTCCCGCTTTCCATCACCCTGCCCCATTCTCCCGCTTTCCATCACCCGCCCCATTCTCCCTCCTTCCATCACCCCCGCCCATTCTCCCTCCTTCCATCACCCCGCCCCATTCTCCCGCTTTCCATCACCCTGCCCCAATCTCCCGCTTTCCATCACCCCGCCCCAGTCTCCCGCATTCCATCACCCCGCCCCATTCTCCCGCTTTCCATCACCTTGCCCCATTCTCCCTCCTTCCATTACCACGCCCCATTCTCCCGCTTTCCATCACCCCGCCCCATTCTCCCGCTTTCCATCACCCCACCCCATTCACCCGCTTTCCATCACCCCGCCCCATTCTCCCGCATTCTGTCACCCCGCCCCATTCTCCCGCTTTCCATCAGCCCTTCCCATTCTCCCGCTCTCCATCACCCTGCCCCATTCTCCCGCTTTCCATCACCCCGCCCCATTCTCCCGCTTTCCATCACCCCGCCCCATTTTCCCACTTACCATCACCCTACCTTTTTTTCTCGCTTTCCATTACCCCGAACCATTCTCCCTCCTTCTATCACCCCGCCCCATTCTCCCTCCTTCCATCACCCCGCCCCATTCTCCCTCCTTCCATTACCCCGCCCCATTCTCCCGCTTTCAATCACCCCGCCCCATTCACCCGATTTCCATCACCTCGCCCCATTCTCCCGCTTTCCATCACCCCGCCCCATTCTCCCGCTTTCCATTAGCCCACCCCATTCTCCCGCTCTTCATCACCCCGCCCTATTCTCCCGCTTTCCATCACCCCGCCCCATTCTCCCGCTTTCCATCACCCCGCTCCATTCTCCCGCTTTCCATCAACCCGCCCCATTCTCCCGCTTTCCATCACCCTGCCCCATTCTCCCTCCTTCCATCACCCCGCCCCATTCTCCCGCTTTCCATCACCCCGCCCCATTCTCCCGCTTTCCATCTCCCCGCCCCATTCTCCCTCCTTCCATCACCCCGCCCCATTCTCCCGCTTTCCATCACCCCGCCCCATTTTCTCGCTTTCCATCACCCCGCCCCATTCTCCCGCTTTCCATCACCCTGCCCCATTCTCCCGCTTTTTATCACCCTGCCCCATTTTCCCGCTTTCCATCAACCCGCCTCATTCTCCCGCTTTCCATCACCCCGCCTCATTCTCCCGCTTTCCATCACCCCGCCCCATTGTCCCTCCTTCCATCACCCCGCCCCATTCTACCTCCTTCCATCACCCCGCCCCGTTCTCCCGCTTGCCATCACCCCGCCCCATTCTCCCGCTTTCCATCACCCCGCCCCATTCTCCCTCCTTCTATCACCTTGCCCCATTCTCCCTGTCAAAACATGATAGCTTATGCTTTTGTGTAGGCTGTAGTGGGGTAGCCTATATGGGGTACAACCCAATTAGGGTTAGTACTTGTACCCAACTCTTTCATAGTGCATTCATTCTCGTTCATTCTCACATGGTTTCAGAGCACATATGCTCCTGGCCTGTGGGCCCAACTACTGTTTCACCTGCTACTCGATCTGTCGCACGCCCCGTTGGCGCGCGGCGATTTTCTCTCTGGCGCGTGCCCCGAGGCATGCGGCCCGGTTCCTTCTAGGCGCTCCACTCCCCGCTACCCCGTCGCGGCGCCCAGGGGAGCCGCGCGTGACCCCTCGCTGCCCTGTCGCGGCCCCATCTCGTCGCGCCGCCCTAGCGGCCGCGTCGCGCCGCCCTCACGGCCCCGATCCGCCGCCCTAGCGGCCCCGTCACCTACCCTTGCGGCCCCGGCGCCGCCCATCCCGGCCCCGGCTCCGCCCTTCCTGGCCCCGGCGCCACCTCGGCTGGCCCCGTCGCCTACCCCGGCAACCCCGACGCCGCCCTTCCCGACCCGGCCCCGCCTCTGCTGGCCCCGTCGCCTGCCCCTGCGGCCCCGGCTCTGCCCTTCCTGGCCCCAGCGCCACCTCGGCTGGCCCTGTCGCCTACCCCGGCAACCCCGACGCCGCCGTTCCTGACCCGGCCCCGCCTCTGCTGGCCATGTCGCCTGCCCGTGCGGCCCCGGCTCTGCCCTTCCTGGCCCCGGCGCCACCTCGGCTGGCCCCGTCGCCAAACCCGGCGACCCCGACGCCGCCCTTCCCGACCCGGCCCCGCCTCTGCTGGCCCCGTCGCCTACCCCCTGCGGCCCCGGCGCTGCCCTTCCCGGCCCCGGCGCCACCTCTGCTGGCCCCGACGCCGCCCTTACTGGCCCCGGCGCCGCCTATACTGGCCTCGTCGCCTACCTCTGCGGCCCCGGCGCCGCCCTTCCCGGCCCCGGCACCTCCTCTGCTGGCCCCGTCACCTACCCTGTGGCCCCGGCGCCACCTCTGCTGGCCCCGTCGCCGCTCCACCCGGCCCCGCCGCCGTCCCCAAGCGGCCCCGCCAACACCACCAAGCCGCCGGCGCCGCCGAGCTGCTACTGAGCCGCCCGAGCCACCCGAGCCGCAGCGCCACCTGAGCCGCCCGAGCCGCCGGGTCGCCGAGCCGCCGAGCTGCAGTTGCTGCCGAGCCGCCGTACCACCGAGCCGCCGAGTAGCCGAGCCACAGTTGCCGCCGAGCCGCCCGAGTCGCCCGAGCCGCCGAGCCGCAGTTCCTGCCGAGCCGCCGTGCCGCCGAGCCGCCCGAGCCGCCCGCACCGCCGAGTCGCCGAGTCGCTGAGTCGCCAAGCCTGCTCTTCCCACCACTGGTGAGCCCCTGCCCTGCTAGCGCGCTGCCCGCCGCCTGCTTGCCTGCCTGCCTGCCTTTCGGCCTGCCTGGCTGCCTGCCTTATTGCTGCTACTCCTGCTCCTGCTTCTACTGGCGGAGCCAGATGCAGCCCCAGCGACGTCCGCGTGAGTCCCTCACGCCCCAGCAGCTACGTGAGTGGTACGCTGGTTGGGGTTGTTGGGGTGGCGGCGCTGCTACTGCTACCACTACTGCTGCTACTACTACTGGCGGCGGCCAGATGCAGCTCCAGCGACGCCCACGCGCGTCTCTCATGCCCCAGCAGCTTCGTGAGTGGTACGCTCAGAGTAGAGGGTCTCTCAGTTCTGTTCGCTGCTCTTACGTGATTCGCACTGGTGCTCGGACTGGTCAGCCTTGTGGGACACCTAGTCACACACAGTCCCGCTGCTTCGCCCGTCTGAGCGACGCCTGGCGTACCGAGTTTGGCGACGAGGCTGAGCTCCCCGACTGGGTGGAGTTGCTGAGGCAGAGGGTAGATATATTTGCTCTTGACTATGATGCTATTCTCACTGCCATGTATGCATTGCCTACTAGTGCTGACCGTGCCGGTCACCTGTGCGTACTGCCTGACTCGGGTATAGAGCCTGCTGCTCTAGCTGCTGGTAAGGCTGCTGCTCTGGGTGCAAGTGAGTCTCCTGCTCCAGGTACAGGTGCGGCTGCTGCTCTAGGTGCTAGTGAGTCTGCTTCCTCAGGTGCGGGTGAGTCTGCTCTCTCAGGTACCGCGTCGGCTCCGGCCTCTCACACCTTCACTCTTGACTCGGGGGCTTCCCGCTCCTTCTTTCGAGACCGCACCACACTCACGCCGCTTGGTCCGCCAGTTGCAGTCTCTCTGGCAGACCCCTCTGGGGGTCCTGTCCTTGCTCACTTCTCCACTATCCTCCCGTGTCCGGCGGCCCCCTCTGGCACCCTGTCTGGTCTTTACCTCCCCTCGTTCTCTACAAAATTGGTGAGTGGTGCTGACCTACAGGATGCGGGGGTTCACCAGTTCACTCGGGTCAGGTAGCATGCGGGGCTCAGGTAGCTGCGTCGGGCCTGCGGGTGCTTCTGGAGTTGGAGCTGCTGCGGGTGTTGGCGCGAAGGCTACTGCTGTCGGTCCTGGAGGCGGTCCTGCTGGGAGTGCTACTGGTGCTGCTGGAGGTACTGGAGCTGGAGGTGCTGCTGGTGCTGGTGCTGCCGCTGAGGGTACTGGTGTTGTCCCTGCTGTGTCTGGAGTCGCCGCGCGGCCTCGGCCGTACTTCGTTCCGCTCCTTCAGCACGTTCTTGGTCTCCCGCCTTCTACTGGTCCTCCTCCTCCCTTCGAGTGTCCAGAGCCTGTCCTGTCACAGTTACAGTTACAGTCGGCCTCCCCACTGCCTGCTCCGTCTCCCTACACTGGTCCTACTGGAGGTTTTGCTGAGCGTCGTGAGCCTGCGTCTCGCCCTGCGTCGCGTGTCCGTGCTGCTCTCACTAGTGGTCGCGGTTCGCGTCAGCGTCCTCCTCCTGTCCCTGGCACGCACGGGATGTCTCTGCGTCCGTCCACTGCTCCTTTGCGTGCCCCTTTGCCTTCTCCTCATGAGTCTTCTCTTCCTGCTCTTGCCGACCCGGAGTCGGACTCTCTTCGTGCTGCCAGTCCTACTGTCACGCGTCTCCTTGCTACTGTTGTCACTGACCCTTCCTTTGAGTCCACTGCTGCGTCTGCCCTAGTTGCTGAGCTCGTCCACTTTACTGCTCGCTGTCGCCTAGACTACGCCGCCAGTCTTGTTGCTGAGTCTGAGTCTGTCTGTCCTCCGTCCGTCGGGGGTAAGTGTGCCCTAGGCACGGACGTCCTTGAGGACAGGCAGGAGGAGTTCCAGTATCTGGCTGCTGCTTCACCTCATCTCGTGTCCGTACTACTTACCCCTGAGGGAGACCCGGATGCACTTGACATCCCGACTCCGCGCTCTTACGCGGAGGCGATAGAGGGTCCCTACTCCTCTCAGTGGCAGGCAGCTATGGACGCAAAGATGGCTTCTTGGAAGTCCACAGGCACCTACGCTGACGAAGTTCCCCCGCTTGGGGCGAACATCGTCAGTGGCATGTGGATTTTCAGGGTGAAGCGGCCGCCGGGTTCTCCGCCTGTCTTCAAGGCGCGTTACGTGGCTCGTGGCTTCAGTCAGCGGCAGGGAGTTGACTACTTTCAGACCTTCTCTCCCACCCCGAAGATGACCACTCTTCGGGTACTGCTGCACATAGCTGCTCACCGTGACTACGAGCTTCACTCTCTTGACTTCAGCACAACTTTCCTACGGGGCCGCCTGCACGAGGAGATCTGGCTGCGCCGCCCACCTGGATTCACTGGGTCTTTTCCGCCTGGCACCCAGTGGAGCCTCCGGCGGCCAGTCTATGGTCTCCGCCAGGCACCGCGTGAGTGGCATGACACACTGAGGACTACACTTGCGGCTCTCGGGTTTGCTCCCTCTACTGCCAACCCGTCGCTGTTTCTGCGCACCGACACTTCTTTGCCGCCGTTCTACATCCTCGTGTACGTCGACGACTTGGTCTTTGCCACAGCTAACACTGCTGGACTCGCCCACGTGAAGTCCGAGCTGCAAAAGAGACACACGTGCACAGACCAGGGTGAACTGCGCAGCTACATTGGCTTGCAGATCACCCAGGACAGAGCATGCCGCACCATTACCCTGACTCAGTCACACATGGTGCAGCAGGTCCTTCAATGCTTCGGCTTCACGTACTCCTCGCCTCAGGCCACTCCTCTGCCTACTCGCCACTCGCTCTCAGCTCTGCCTTCGGATGAGTCCGTAGAGTCGAGTGGCCCGTACCCAGAGCTTGTTGGCTGCCTCATGTACCTGATGACCTGCACTCGACCTGACCTTGCATACCCTCTTAGCATTCTCGCACGCTATGTTGCTCCTCGGAGACACAGACCGGAGCACATGGCTGCAGCGAAGAGGGTGTTGCGCTACTTGTGCAGTACGTCGGGCATGGGGCTTGTGCTTGGAGGGCGGAGTCCAGTGGTCCTCACGGGGCACGCAGACGCTTCTTGGGCTGACGACCAGGCTACTCAGCGGTCGTCACAGGGTTACACCTTCAGCCTTGGTTCTGGCTTTGTTTCGTGGTGGGCTACCCGCTCGTCTTCAGTTCTCGGCTCCAGTTGTGAGGCTGAGATCTACGCCGGGGCCATGGCTGCTTAGGAGCTTCGCTGGCTCACCTACCTGCTGACTGACCTCGGAGAGCCGCCTCGTTCTCCTCCAGTGCTGTACGTAGACAACAAGGCCATGCTGGCCTTGTGTCGAGAGCAGAGACTGGAGCACTGAACGAAGCACATTGCTCTTCGCTACTTCCTTGCTCGTGAGCTGCAGCAGCGTGGTCAGCTGCGTCTTGCGTACGTGGCCTCTGAGGCCAACACTGCTGATATCTTCACTAAGGCACTTGCGCCTTGTGATCATCAGCGCTTCTGTACTCAGCTGGGTCTTGTGCCTGCCTTGCCTCACTTGCTCACCTCTTGACCTTGCTTGTACTGTCACATATTTATAAACCCTGCTCTTGCTTGTCTAGCCTTTTATATATATATGTACTCCTGCATGTGAACTGGCCTTGTGGCCTTGACCTTGTGCTCAGAATGTGTGGTGACTTTGTGATCCACCCTGAGCTTTGCTTTGCTTTGCTTGACTAGTCTTGTGACCCCTTGTTCTCCCCCACTTTGCCTATGGGGGTGTGTCAGAACATGATAGCTTAAGGTTTTGTGTAGGCTGTAGTGGGGTAGCCTATATGGGGTACAACCCAATTAGGGTTAGTACTTGTACCCAACTCTTTCATAGTGCATTCATTCTCGTTCACTCCCTCCATCCATCACCCGACCCTAATCTCCCTCCTACCATCACCCCGCCCCATTCTCTTCCTTTCCATCACTCCGCCCCATTCTCCCGCTTTCCATCACCCTGACCCATTCACCCGCTTTCCATCACCCCGCTCCATTCTCCCGCTTTCCATCACCCCGCCCCATTCTCCCGCTTTCCATCACCCCGCCCCATTCTCCCGCTTTCCATCACCCCGCACCATTCTCCCGCTTTCCGTCACCCCGCCCCATTCTCCCTCCTTCCATCACACCGCCCCATTCTCCCTCCTTCCATCACCGAGCCCCATTCTCCCGCTTTCTATCACCCCGCCCCATTCTCCCGCTTTCCATAACCCCGTCCGATTCTCCCGCTTTCCATCACCCCGACCCATTCTCGCTCCTTCCATCACCCCGCCCTATTCTCCCTCCTTCCATCACCGCGCCCCGTTCTCCCGCTTTCCATCACCGTGCCCCATTCTCCCGCTTTCCATCACCCCGCCCCATTCTCCCGCTTTCCATCACCCCGCCCAATTCTCTCGCTTTCCTTCACCCCGCCCCATTCTCCTTCCTTCCATCACCCCGCCCCATTCTCCCTCCTTCCATCACCCCTCCCCATTCTCGCTCCTTCCATCAACCCACCCCATTCTCCCGCTTTCCATCACCCCGCCCCATTCTCCCGCTTTCCATCACCCCGTCCCATTCTCCCGCTTTCCATTACCCCGCCTCCTTCTCCCGCTTTCCATCACCCCGCCCCATTCTCCCGCTTTTCATCACCCCGCCCCATTCTCCCACTTTCCATCCCCCGCCCCATTCTCCCTCCTTCCATCACCCCGCCCCATTCTCCCTTCTTCCATCACCCCGCCTCATTCTCCCGCTTTCCATCACCCCGCCCCATTCTCCCGCTTTCCATCACCCCGCCCCATTCTCCCGCTTTCCATCACCCCGCCCCATTCTCCCGCTTTCCGTCACCCCGCCCCATTCGCCCTCCTTCCATCACCCCGCCCCATTCTCCCACTTTCCATCACCCCGCCCCAATCTCCCGCTTTCCATCACCCCGCCCCATTCTCTCACTTTCCATCACCCCGCCCCATTTTCCCGCTCTCCATCACCCCGCCCCATTCTCGTGCTTTCCATCACCCCGCCCCATTCTCCCGCTTTCCATCACCCCGCCCCATTCTCCCGCTTTCCATCACCCCGCCCCATTTTCCCTCCTCCTATCACCTCGCCCCATTCTCCCTCCGTCCATCACCCTGCCCCATTCTCCCTCCTTCCATCACCCCGCCCCATTCTCCTGCTTTCCATCACCCCGCCCCATTCTCCCGATTTCCATCACCCCGCTTCATTCTCCCGCTTTCCATCACCCCGCTGTGAAAATTTAGAAGAAAGAAGAGGACTGCACTAGCAAGAATGGGGATACAAATAGGAAACCCTAGAAGGGTTGTACTCGCTATAGAGCACCCCACTACAGGCTAGAGCATAAGATAACATTCTGACACACCCCCATAGCCAAAGTGGGGTGTAATCAGCAGAGCAAGCAAAGCAGTAGGAGTTGCAGCGGAAGCAACGAGGTGGTGAGCCCACCCACAGGATCGATCCAAGGGGATCGACCTGCTTTGATAGCATGTGAAAATTTAGAAGAAAGAAGAGGACTGCACTAGCAAGATAGGGGATACAAATCGGAAACCCTAGAAGGGTTGTACTCGCTGTAGATCACCCCACTACAGGCTAGAGCATAAGATAACATTCTGACACCCGCCCCATTCTCCCTCCTTCCATCACCCTGCCCTATTCTCCCTCCTTCCATCACCCCGGCCCATTCTCCCTCCTTCCATCACCCCGCCCCATTCTCCCGCTTTCCATCACCCTGCCCCATTCTCCCGCTTTCCATCACCCCGCCCCATTCTCCCGCTTTCCATCACCCCGCCCCATTCTCTTGCTTTCCATCACCCCTCCCCATTCTCCCGCTTTCCAGCACCCCGCCCCATTCTCCCGCTTTCCATCAACCCGCCCCATTTTCCCGCTTTCAATCATCCCGCCCCATTCTTCCGCTTTCCAGCACCCCGCCCCATTCTCCTTCCTTCCATCACCCGCCCCATTCTCCCTCCTTCTGTCACCCCTCCCCATTCTCCTGCTTTCCATCACCCCGCCCCATTCGCCCGCTTTCTATCACCCCGCCCCATTCACCCGCTTTCCATCACCCCGCCCCATTTTCCCGCTTTCCATCACCCCCCCCCCCATTCTCCCTCCTTCCATCACCCATTCCCATTCTCCAGCTTTCCATCATCCCACCCCATTCTCCCGCTTTCCATCACCCCGCCCCTTTCTCCTGCTTTCCATCACCCCGCCCCATTCTCCCGCTTTCCATCACCCCGCCCCATTCTCCTTCCTTCCATTACCCCGCCCCATTCTCCCGCTTTCCATCACCCCACCCCATTCTCCCGATTTCCATCACCCCGCCCCATTCTCCCGCTTTCCATCACACCGCCCCATTCTCCCGCTTTCCATCACCCCACCCCATTCTCCCTCCTTCCATCACCCTGCCCCATTCTCCCTCCTCCCATCACCCGCCCCATTCTCCCTCCTTCCATCACCCCGCCTCATTCTCCCGCTTTGCATCACCCCGCCCCATTCTCCCGCTTTTCATCACCCCATTCTCCCGCTTTCCATCACCCCGCCCCATTCTCCCGCTTTCCATCACCCCGCCCCATTCTCCCGCTTTCCATCACCCCGCCCCATTCTCCCTCCTTCCATCACCCCTTCTCATTCTCCCGCAATTTATTATCCCGCCCCATTCTCCCGCTTTCCTTCATCCCGCCCCATTCTCCCGCTTTCCATCACCCCGCCCCATTCTCCCGCTTTCCATCACCCCACCCCATTCTCCCGCTTTCCATCACCCCGCCCCATTCTCCCGCTTTCCATCACACCGCCCCATTCTCCCGCTTTCCATCACCCCACCCCATTCTCCCTCCTTCCATCACCCTGCCACATTCTCCCTCATTCCTACACCCCGCCCCATTCTCCTTGTTTCCATCACCCCGCCCCATTCTTCCTCGTTCCATCACCCCGCCCCATTCTCCCTCCTTCCATCACCCCGCCCCATTCTCCCGCTTTTTATCACCCCGCCCTATTCTCCCGCTTTCCATCACCCCGCCTCATTCTCCTGCTTTCTATCACACCGCCCCATTGTCCCGCTTTCCATCACCCCGCCCTGTTCTCCTGCTTTCCATCACCCTGTCCCATTCTCCCGCTTTCCATCACCCCGCCCTGTTCTCCTGCTTTCCATCACCCTGTCCCATTCTCCCGCTTTCCATCACCCCGCCCCATTGTCCTGCTTTCCCATACTAGTGCACTCTAAAACAGTTGTTTCCGTAAGCACTTCAAAAAAAACCATCCACATATGGTGTTTCGTAGGAACGTTTTGCCGCTTAACCAAAATTGACAAACAAGGATTCAAGGTGTAGACATTTGAATTATGGTACGCTCGTGAGATATGTGCTCGTAATAGGCGATTTGCAAACCAGAACCCAGAAGCTGGCGGCACCGCACAACCCAGGTCCCTTTTTTTTTTTTTTTTTTTTGTTCAACGGTAGTTATTGTAATAATGAAGAAGAAAAGAAAAGAAAGGAAAAGAAAGGAGAAAGGGAGAAGGAAAGTGAAACCGCCAAGAAGAACCCAAATGCAACACACATAAAACCCCCCCTCAAGATACCCAATCAAAACGCCCAGTCAAGACACCCTGTCAAGACATCCCATCCCACACCCCATTCCCCCCCCCCCCCCCCAATCACAACAGCGAATCCACCATGTACGGGGCCTCCACCCAGAGAGCCCCGCCTTCCGCATCGCCATCGTCCCACTCCCGGTCCACCAAGTCAACGTTAATCCCCCCCATAGAAGACGCCGCTCGAAGCAGGATGACACGGGCTTGCGCACGTTGCAACGCCACCCCGATGAGCGCCTTCAGTGACCCTAGAAGATAAGCCGAAAACACAGTGTCGTCCTCCCGACAAGCCCCCCGCGACACAGCTAGCCCCACGTGCGCATCTCCTTGCTGACGAAGCCACCTCCGAAAGCGACCGCCGAGACACCCCCACGTCTCCACTATCAGAGGAGTGAACTGCACACCCCGGTTGCGTGCAAGCAGAGGCGCGTAATCGCTCGTTTTACGACGCTCCCATTCTCTTGCCGCCACGCCTATTTGACGCCCGCACTGTCCTAGCAAAGATGGAGACAGCGATAGCGGGTCCGCGACGCTGATCTCCAGGGCGTGAGCCTCTCCAGCCATTGGTCGTCGCACCGCCACATCAACCCGCTTCCCCTGCAGCACCACACTATCCTCCATTGTCACCACCCCCCCAGACGCCTTAGAGATCTTCGCCACCGCAAACTTCACCTCATCATGTACCCGAGATGGACCATGCTGGTGCTTGCATCTCAGGGCATGATGCGGGTCTGCTGGGTCAACATATGCTGTGCCACAAACACACCTCCCCGCCACCTGCAGCTGCTGAATTGGGAGCCCGAGCCGTATAGCAGCAGCAATGCCCCACTCCGCCGCAGTGAATGTGAGATCTGAGTGAGCCGGAACCGCCGGAACAATAGGGCGACAGGTGGAGGATGTTTCACTCGATTTGTATCCAATCTAGTGTGTGTGTTGTGTCGAAGTCAGGAGATGAGTAGAAATGCAGTAGGTAGTGTAACTGTAGTTGTAGTTGGAAGTTGTGACATACAGGTTGACTGGAGTAGTTAGTAGTGAGAAGTATGTGATTTTCTTGTCTATGATGTTGTTTAGGTTAGTTTAGTACACAACACATTGGAGCCCGGATTTCAAGTTTACACTTCGGCCTGCACCCGTGACCGTTAAGGGCAGAAATTTTGTCACCTCCCTGAAAATCAGGGTCAGAATTTCAGCAGCTGGGGGCCTCAAGTTCTGCCCCCAGGAATATCGACAGCCCTGCTCCCGCCTTCGTCAACGGAGGCCCTGTTTGGCTGCAAAATTGCACGTTTTTTCCCATCTAGGTTCGGTGTTGTGCGGGAGGTCTGGTTCCGAACGTTGGGAAGTTCGGAATGTCAGAATATTATTCTTATGTTCTAGCCTGTAGTGGGGTGCTCTATAGCGAGTACAACCCTTCTAGGGTTTGCTATTTGTATCCCCATTTCTGCTAGTTCATTCCTCTCTTTCTTTCTTCTAATTTTGTCATGGTATCAGAGCAGGTCGATCCCCTTGGATCGATCCTGTGGGTGGGTTTCCACCTCGCTTCCGCTGCTACCTTTCCTTCCCGCCGTGCGCCCCGAGGCGCGCGGCGGTTTTCCTTCCCGCCGTGCGCCCCGAGGCGCGCGGCGGTTTTCTGCCCGCCGTGCGCCCCGGGGCGCGCGGCGGTTCTTTGCCCGCTGTGCGCCCCGAGGCGCGCGGCGGGCGTCTGCCCTACCGTCGCGGCCCCGCCCTGCGTCGCGGCCCCGCCCCTCGAAGCGGCCCTGCCCTACGTCGCGGCCCCGCCCCGACCGTCGCGGCCCCGCCCTACAGTCGCGGCCCCACCCTACGTCGCGGCCCCGCCCCGACCGTCACGGCCCCGCCCTACGTCGCGGCCCCGCCCGACCGTCGCGGCCCTGCCCTACGTCGCGGCCCCACCCTGTGTCGCGGCCCCGCCCCTCGAAGCGGCCCCGCCCTACTTCGCGGCCCCGCCCCTCGTCGCGGCCCCGCCCCTTTTCGCGGCCCCGCCCTCCAACCAGGCCCGTGGTGGGTCCCTTTCACCACCCCGCCCCCCCCCCCCCCCCCCCCCCCCCCCCCCCCCCCTCCCCCTGCCATTTCCCGTCGCCCGTTGAGGCGACCTGAGGGGGCCGCTTGCTGTGGGGTGGCGGGTATGGGGGTGGCCGGTCTTCCTTCCTCCCTTTGCTCCTCCTCCTCCTTCGTCTCCCACTGCTGCAGCTGTCGCTGAGGGGGGTGGATGTGTGGGAGACTGGGTTTAGGGTTTAAGGGGGGGTGCGTGGGAGTAGAGCTAGCGGTGTAGCAGTGGGTGTGTATCAGGGGGGTGGGACTGTTTGCAGGAGGTTGAGCGGAGGCTGCCGGCTTGTCGTCCGCAGCACCTGTAGTCCGGGGCGCTGTCCCGGTAGCCCAGTCGTAGCCAGCTGTGCCAGCCGCCCGTGGGTCCGTTGCCCGTCCGCCGCTATTTGAGCCGCGGGGCCTGTTACTCCTGTAGTCCGGGCGCTGTCCGGTAGCCGCTGTGCCAGTCTGCCTCCTGTTGCCCGTGTGTCTGCAACTTCAGCCGTCGCCTCCTGTCTCCTCTCCCCTCACTCTCCCTCCTCCTCCTCACTTGCCCGTTGTGACTACCACTAGCTTTGCTTATAATTGTGAACTCTAAACTATTTCTTCTTGAACTTGTGCTCAGAATGTGTGGTGACATTGTGATCCACCCTGAGCTTGTTTTGCTTTGCCTGCTCTGCTGATTACACCCCACTTTGGCTATGGGGGTGTGTCAGAATATTATTCTTATGTTCTAGCCTGTAGTGGGGTGCTCTATAGCGAGTACAATCCTTCTAGGGTTTGCTATTTGTATCCCTATTTCTGCTAGTTCATTCCTCTCTTTCTTTCTTCTAATTTTGTCACGGAAACCAAAGGCAACTTGTCGTCCTGACACCGTGGCAACACGTCAGCAAAATCTAAGGTGTATCTACAGTGTCCGCGCAAAGGACAGAGAAATTAGACCAGGCCACCGGACCTCAACGGCCAACATGAACGACCCAAAAATCCCTCCACACATCCAACTCACTCAGGTTTATGGCCCTGGGTCACCCCTCGGTCAGGCCTCCCGCGGACGGAAAATCTGAAAAAAAAAGTTGATCCCGAAACCCTAATTTCATAGCACAAGCTCACACGCTCCACTCGCAACAGACCACAACTCGAGTTAGCACTATGGACAGCCGCTTACCATATGATCCGCTATCTCTACAACCTGAAGAGCCCCATGGCTCCAACGAATTAACTAGTATCATATATCTCATGGCAACGTTTTTAGGGATAGAAATAGTCCCACGATTAATGCAAGAATACCCCCAATCTGGGCAGGAGGGCACTTGGGGGACGCAGGGTTTACCCCCCACGCTGCCCGAAATGGAAGTCTCAATTAGGCGGAAGATGGGTACTCACGTTGAAAAGATGAGCAGCCATCTTCTGGCCTTCCCTTCTTGTGATTGGTCGTTGTCTGACTTCTGGGCCCACGTCAGGCTTGGGGTTGGGCGAGGGGTTCGGAGTTGTGTGGGGTGGGTAGCTCGGAATGAAGTCTAGTCGCACGAGGGTCGCAGGCGATTTTGGTGGTGCCGAACCACTCTCGACGGCCAACATGAACACTTTTCAGGCTCCCAACGGCCAAGATGACCTGTTTTTAGTGCTCCCGAAGTGCTGCCGAAACAGGGCCGGAATCTCGCTTGAAAAAAGTCGGTGTCGTTTGTCTTGCGTAGCCGCTGAGGTGAAAGGCGGGGACAAGCGAACAGCGTAAGCTTGGGGATTTCTCTTTTCCTTCCCTGACCGGCTGATTCATGTCACACGCGGACGATTCTCAACCAGCATCGATGTGGAGTGGACTCTCGTATCTCCCTGTCATGGACAAAAACAAAGCCTGACCGGACCAACCATTCGGAGCCACCGTCACTTTTCCTCGCGACCCAACACAGCCGGTTAGCCTGTAGACCAATGCGGAACTTGATAGGGTTGCCGTGATGAAACACGCTAAGGTCTGAACCTACGGCTGAGATCTGAGTTACCAAGAGAGTTTCAGTCAATCCAGTGATTCTGGACGGTAGATCTGAAGAGGATTGTTGTGAGGAGAGGAGAGGAGAGGCAGTTGGTGACCCCTCCGCCTCATTCCAGCGTCACCGTCGTCTCTCGCCTCATTCTCGCCTGAGCCTCGGATTTCACACCGCTTTCGCCTCTTGCTCTCGTTTTCTCACGCTCAGCTTCTTCTGCTCGTTTTCTTAGAGCTGCTGCGACTGCGGAAAGGCGAGCCGCTAGGAATATCATTTTCTATTCAGGCCTGGGTTGATGTAGAAGCTGCGTTAACGGGAAGAGGAATCCGCGTGTCGGGAAGAGGAAATGGCGTGTCGGAAAGAGGAGATCGCATGTCAGGAGAGGAAATGGCGTGTCGGAAGAGGAAATGGCGTGTCGGAAGAGGAAATGGCGGGTCGGAAGAGGAAATGGCGAGTCGGAAGAGGAAATGGCGTGTCGGAATAGGAAATCGCGCGAGAAGCCTGGAAACTTTGACTACGAGAGAACTAAGTGCGAGGATAGCGATTTTCGTATGGAAGGTATGTCTGAGTGCTAGTGCTTTTCTCCACGTATATCCGAGTCTTATTTAGTGGTGTAGTATGCTTTCGTTTTAGTACACGCAAGATTGTTCAGTGGCGCGTCTGACGTGACGACGACTGCATGTTGCAGGTTTGTTCCGATCCGAGACGACGTCGCTGAATGGGAAAAGAACATCGTCTCGTCCCTGGGACAAGTAGCAGGGAGGCCACATGTCGCTGAATCATCCTCTCGTTCTCCGTGCGATTTCGGGGAGTCCGTGCGAGTTACAAATTCGCTTTGTCAGGGCGGGCACCAGGAGCGCGGGCAGCGGGGCAGCAGCGCCGGCCTCATCAACGGTTGAGGTTGCAGTATCGCCCCTGCCACCACACTCCACTCGAGCCCACTCCCCCTCAGGTTCAGGTTCAAGTTCAGGTGCAGGTTCAGGTTGGTAGCGGCTCTTGTGGGGTTGTGGTTGGCGTCACATGCACTGTCGTTTCTGCTGTTGCACGTGTGTTTGACACTTTTCTCCATTGCAACCCCTCTTACTTTCGGCTGGCTTTCCTTTCCGCCCTGCCCTCCCTCCTGTCACTTCCCTGCCAGACCTTCACAAGCCAGGGGGAGGGCAGCAGGCGAGGGGAGCACCAGGGCGGGCAGCAGGAGCGTGGGCAGCGGGGCAACAGCGCCGGCCTCATCAACGGTTGAGGTTGCAGTATCGCCCCTGCCACCACACTCCACTCGAGCCCACTCCCCCTCAGGTTCAGGTTCAGGTTCAGGTGCAGGTTCAGGTTGGTAGCGGCTCTTGTGGGGTTGTGGTTGGCGTCACATGCACTGTCGTTTCTGCTGTTGCACGTGTGTTTGACACTTTTCTCCATTGCAACCCCTCTTACTTTCGGCTGCCTCTTCTTTCCGCCCTCCACGCCCTCCCATCCCGACCCTGCCAGGCCTTCACAAGCCAGGGGGAGGGCAGCAGGCGAGCAGCAGGCGAGGGGAGCACCAGGGCGGGCAGCAGAGGCGGGGAAGGCAGCAGAGGGATCACTGGAGGAGAAGGGGAGGGGAGGGAGGGATGAGGCAACAGCCCTGTTGGCGGCTCTTCATCTGCCAGTTAAGTCACTCTTCCTCATATTCGTCCCTCACCTTTGCTTGCTGCGCATCGTTCATACTCCTTGCTTTCTCTTTGCCCCTGAAACTTTCGCCACTGGTTGGGGCCAGCCTCACAAGCCACAGACTCTCCCCCTGACTTCAGGTAAGCTCTCCGGCTCAGGTTCAGGTTTGCCCACAGGCCCCTCAGGTTCAGGTTCAGGTTACCTCCTTAGGTCCCCCTGCAGTCTGTGCCTTGTGCTCCTGCCCCTTCCAGTGGCCCTTCCCCTCTATCGCCCTGCCTGTGTGACTCGCACTTGTCTACTCTGCTGGATCTCTAGACAGCCCACTGACCATCTCTGCATGTGCCTTGCAGGAGGAGGGGAGAGGCGGGGGTCAACACCGACGCTCCCTCACGTCCCTCCCCTGTGGCCGTGCATGTAACCGTCGGGATGGGAGGGAGGCAGCACTGCCAGTCGCTGCCTCAAGGGAGAGTATTGGGATGGGCTTGGCCTCTCAAGGTATGCGAGCCTCTCGCTTGCCCTCATCCCTCTCCCTTTCTGCTCTTCAATTTCGCGCTCTCGTTTTCCTCAGCTTTAGTTTGTTTTCTTGTTAGTCATGCCACCTCACTTGCTCTTACTTCTCCCCTTTCTTCCCCCCTTACCAGGTCACTTGGCATTGAGTGAAGACTGCAGTGGTGCTTCAGCTGCCCTCTGCTCGCTCTCACACAATCAGCTAAGTGTCCCTTCCTCCATGCCCTCGCCCTTGCTGCTGCCATTTCGTTTGTCGCATCTGCTTTCGCACCCTTCCTCTTGAAGCAGTGCCACTGGTTAGGTCCGCCTCACATGCCACAGACCCCCCAACTCCAGGTAACCCCTCAGGTGTAAATCAGGTGCAGGTACCTCCTTCAGGTGCAGGTAACCCCTTCAGGCGCAGGTAATCCCTTCAGGTGCAGGTACCCTCTCAGGTTCACCCCTTGGGGTCTGTGCTTTGTGGCTTGGCCTCCACCAGTGGCCCCTCCCTGCTCTCGCCTTGCAAACTCTCTTCTCGCTCTTGCACTCTCACCCTTCCTCCCCTCGCTGCCCACTGACCAGCTCTGCGTGTGCCTTGCAGGTGGAGGGGAGGGGCGGGGGTCAACACCGACGCTCCCTCACGCCCCTCCCCTGTGGCCGTGCAGGTACCCGTGGGGATGGGAGGGAGGCAGCACTGCCAGTCGCTGCCACAAGGGAGAGTATCAGGGTGGGCTTGGCCTCGCAAGGTACGTCAGCCTCTCCTCTCTGCCCTCATCGCTCTCCCTTTTAGCTTTTCATTTCGGTGTTCTCGTTTTTCGTCAACTTCTGGTCATGCCAGCTCACTTTCTCTTTACTCCCCTCTTTTTCTTCCCCCCCTACCAGGTCACTTGGCATCGAGTGAAGATGGAGCGCTGCCACTGGCTGCCACAAGGGAGAGTATCGGGGTGGGCTTGGCCTCTCAAGGTACGTCACCTCCCCTCTCAGCCCTCATTCCTCTCTGTTTCTCCTCTTCAATTCTGCTGTCTCGTTTCTGTCAACTTCGGTTTTGTTTTGTTTATATGATCATGCCAACTAACTCACTCTCACTTTCCCCCCTTCTTCCCCCCCTACCAGGTCACTTGGCATCGAGTGAAGACTGTAGCAGAGAAGCTGAGTAGCAGACCGGCAGCAGCAGTTGCAGCAGCAGCAGCAGTAGCAGTGGGGGGTGGAGGGCTAGTGGGCAGGCTAGGCTAGGTCGAGTCGTGAGCGAGGTGTGGTATGGTATCAGGTGAGGTAACAGGTGAGGTATAGAGATCTGATCCCCTCCTCTCTTCTCTCCCCCCACCCCTTGCAGCCTGAGAGGGGGAGGGAGCACTCGAGCATGGGCGGGACAGTGGCATCTCGCCTCTCATTCACCCCTCCTCCCCTTTTTCACCCCTTGTTGCGGCCAGAGGAAGGGAGGGAGCACTGGAGCAAGGGCGGGACTGAGGCAACTCTCCTTTCATCCTCCCCTCCTTCCCTCCGTCTCCCCCCTCCCCACTTTCCAACGCGGCTGAGACATCATGGTGCTACGCAAGGTACGTAGAGGTAAGCAGGCATGGGGTGAAGGGGCATGAGAGGAGAGGGGGGGGGGGGGGGAAGCGTGGGAGCAAGTGGGCAGTTCACTTCCTTAGGGGCAGCACTCTCTGAGGTTGTGGCTTGTGGGACGGGGTGTGGTGGGTGGAATTTGCGCGGCACGGCACTCGGTGCTCAAGTAATTATCCTGACGTTAAGGCTTAATGGGCACCGTCAGAGTCGACCGGCCGGCGACTCTGGTTCGCGTCAGCTCTAGCTACGTCAGGGGCAGGATTTGAGTCTTGTGCTGGAAGCAATTTTCCACTACCACACCTCGCCCTTCAAGGCACAGCCCCTGGGGGTGCTGTTTCCGAAGGGGAGTGGGCTGTCTGCTGCTCCTACTGCTGGCAGGTAAGATGGGGAGGGGATGGGTGGGCTGTGTGGTGATGGTGGTGATGGGTTGATGGTGGTGAGAGGCAGTGGGGTTGGCGGTGGCATATGATGAGCCATATGGCACTGATGCCACCCTTAAGCATGGAAGCATGATGCTCATGCTTGGCTGGTTGGGGGCACATGATGAGTTGCACTGATGCTACCCTTAAGCATGGAAGCATGATGCTCATGCTTGGCTGGTTGGGGGCACATGATGAGTTCCACTGATGCCACCCTTAAGCATGGAAGCATGATGCTCATGAAAGGGGTTGAGTCCCCTTGGGTGGGTGAGAGCAAGTGAAAGGAGTTGGGTCCCCTTGGGTGGCACTGATGCCACCTGTTGCATGAAAGCATGATGCTCATGCTTGGTTGGTGGCATATGATGAGCCGTATGATACTGATGCCTCCTGTTGCATGAGAGGAGCACAGTAGGTGGTGAGGATGAGTGGTTTGAGTGGTGAGTTTGAGTGGTGAGAGTGTGGTGATATGAGTGGCCAGAATGGTAAGTGTGTGGTGATGCTGAGTGGTGAGAGTGAGTGGTTACAATGAGTTGTGGATGGGTATGGTGAGGTTGTTAGATTGAGTGAGTGGTGAGAGTGGGTGGTGAGAAAAGGGTGATTTTCAGTGAGAGGTGAGAGTGGTGGGTGGTGGAGGGGTGGGAGTGGCGAGGTGGGTGGGTAGAGATTTGAGCCGGGTGGTGTGTGTTCGTGTATGGTTGTGAGAGTGGGGCGGGCAGGCCGGTGGTTGGGGGTGGTTGGTTGTGGATGGGTGTTGGTTGGTATGTGGGTGGGGTACTTGTGTTTAGGTTGGTGGGTGCTGGTGTGCTGGTGTGCTGGTGGTGTTGATGGGTGTGTGGGGCGGTGGGTGATTGGGTTGGGCGGGTGCTGGGTGGTTTTGGATGGGTTGTGGGTGCGTGAGTGTGGGTGGTGGTTTGGTGGTGAAGGTGGGTGGTTGTGAGTAGGTGGGTAACATTGTTGAGTGTGGGTCGGTGGGGAATGGAGGCTGTTGGTGGGCGGGTGTTTGTGGGTGAGTGTTGGATATTTCGGGTGGGTGGTTATGGTTAGGGGATGGGGGAGCATGGTTGGGTGCACAGTTGTGGATTGTTTGTAGGTGGGGGTGGTTGGTTGGGGCCTGGTGGGCAGGTGGGTGGATGATGAGGGTGGGTGGTTGGATCTGTTGGTGGTGTGGTTGTGGGTGGGCACTTGGCTGTATTGTGGGAGGAGGGGCGTAAAGAACCCCCTCCGCTGACTTGGAAAGTCCCGGGAGTCAATCTGTGGCTGGCTGACATCAAATCTGATTGGTGGCTTACAGGTCTCCTCCAATCTGACATAATCTGTGTGCACAGTGCATGTGGGCATGCTAACACCAGTTGTCCAGCATGTGTGAATGCATGTGTGCGTGTGCATGCACAGGTCCAATGTTCTGCCAAGCCTGTGACCCTGCCAACCACACAGCACAAGACAATATATTCCATAATCTCGGGACAAAAACGGTGGCTCCAGTCTGCAGGGGAAGTTGTCCTTCCTGTGCTAAGGTTCAATCTATCGCGGTAGTTTGTTTGGTCAAAGATCGTGGGCATCACTAGATCATACTTAATGATTCGTGAATCATGTCCTTCACACTATGGTGTAAAATGATGTGCATAAGAGCAATTAGGCGGGAAAGGAGTATTGATTGCCGATGTTAGAAAGGCATAGTGGCAGCGTAGCGGAAACTTGTTTGTAGAAAAAAACAAGATAGAAATCTTGCACAATAACTAGGTTGATCATTGAAAGATGGAATGACAACACAATGATGACTCAATGACACGGTAATGAAGAAGTGACACAGCAGGGTATATATGCATCCAGCTACCCCTCCAGAAGTACCCCATTCACACCAATAATTGTACCCTCTACCCTCCAATAATGCTAGGCTCCAATAATTGTGGACCTACAATAATTGTGACAATTATTGTAGGACCTGGAGGCTTATAACGAATACTACACTAAAACCAAACAGCACACCGGTATACAGTATTCGTTATGCTGTATTCGGATTTCCAACAGCTGACACGTTGGTTTCTTCGGCCCACTGTTAGCAGTAGCTAACAAATCACAGAGAATGTGCGTATATTTAATTTAGACATATCAGTACAGCTGTTCCTTGCCAAAAAGAGGCTGGTAACCAGCAATACGGTATGTTGCCTAACGTTGCCAGAATGTGTAGTGTAGCGCCCTGCATGAGTCAAGAGAGCTGAACCGAACTGAACCTATGGCAACGCCTCCTTCCACCGCAGCAGCAGAGCAGTGGTGAAGCACACAGCAGCATGAGTGAGCCCTGGTTGTTCACTCTCCCGAGGCCCTGCCATGTTCACCACACGCGCCTTCTGTTGCTCCAGCCACACACACACCCTCTCCACCACACCTCCCATCCTCTCCTCACATGCTCCCTCTCTGTCCTGCCACCGCCTGCAGCACACCTTGCTGCTCTCACTATGCTCCTGCTGCTGTTGCTGCTGTTGCTCCTCCTCGCACAGATCAGCAGCATCGGCATGACCACCATACGGCAATGCACGATCAACACCATGGCATCTCTCCATGCAGCGGCAGCACGGAGGCAGCACGGCCACCATACACGGCTTGCCATACCTTGCTGCCAGCTCCAGTGTCAGCCACGTGCCTGCACTCACCTGCCGCACTCGCCCCACCGCTCTCTCTCCCACCCACTCCCCCGTCTCACTCCCACTTCCCCCTTGAGGAGCAAGAGGCGGAGGAGCAGGAGTCCTTCCGCACTCCATCGCCTCAGCAGCTGCCCAAACAACCCCCCCTGCTGCTCCTGCCCCTCCTGCTCCTCCTGCCTTTCCTGCTCCTCCTGCTCCCCCTGCTTCGTCTGCTCCTCCTGCTCCTCCTGCTTCTCCTGCCTCCCCTCCCTCCCACGGGCTCTGCAGCAGCAGCACCAGCGTCACATCACCGTCCGCCACGTTCCGCTCTGTTCGCGCACTGTATTCCGCCTGCGGGAGCTCCGCCATTTGCTCCGCCAGCGCCCGCGGGATCTCCCCGTCCTCCGCGCGCCGGCCCTTGGGGCAGCTTCCGCCGAACGGGAGGCCGAGCGCGCGCGCGGCCATCAGCGCCCCGCGATCCGCGCCGGTTTGCCCGCCGGATATGATGCGATGTCGCGGACGCGACATGGCGTGCTAGCCGGCAGCAGTTATGTCGGTGAATGTCGAACTGGCAAACCCGCGAACTGGCGAACTCGTGGCGAAAGCGCAAAGCGAGCACAGCCAGTCACTCGACTCAATAGTGGCGGGTGGGTCGCGCGGGTGTCACGTTGCCTCCTGGCGCAGAGATTATTTTGCCTACTTTGACCTGCTTCGGCTGGGTTACGAGATGCGTGCCGAGCGCGTACATGTCTAAGATTAGGGTCTTTATAGAGAAACTGGGTGCTGTACAAGCAATACAGCGCCGGGAAAAAGAAATCATATTACCGTGGAACTGACGGCTGACAAAACACAGGTGACGTGAATCCAGACAGCAAATCAATTATACATAGTTGCCCCTAACAAGGAAAGAGCATCGCACCTAAGCCTTATGCGAAAAAGCGTAGTAATAATTAGACAATAAGCAGACTAATAAACTGCACCTCAGTGTTCCAGTCGCTAGCGCTGCTTGAGCACTTGCCACGCGAGACAGTGTTAATGAGGTGGATTAGTGGATAGGTGGATAGGTGGAGCTGCACTGCACACTGTGTGCAGCACGCCCTGACAGCAGTTTATTCTAGGGGATAGCTGTGTCTTGTGGAGGACGGTGACTGGGAAGCGAGTTAAACACGCTTTTACTAGGTGTTACGCGTGAGCGAGCACAATAGCAGCGCACACACAGCAGACTCGCACACACAAACACGCGCGCTGGCATGCACACATGCACACACGCAGTGGCAGTGGCAGTGCTCTAGGCCAGCAGCTCCGGAGGGGTGAGAGGGCCGTCAGAGCTCCATTGCGCCCAACTGAAGTACCACGTGATGCCCGCTGCAGCCGGTGCTGGCTGCGGTGCCGGTGGCGGGGGCAGCGGCGGCAGGTACTGCGTCCACAGCTGCACCACCTTCCCCCTGTCAGTCTCCGTGGCTGGTGGGAGATGACACAGCATAGCACAGCACCATGCATGCAGATGAGATGTGTATCCACACACAAAACAGATGTGAGATGAGATGAGATGGAAGATGCACATGCACGTGCAGGGAGGCACTCGCACATTCACGCGCACGCACAAACGCACGGAGGCACTCACACACACACAACCACCCACCCACATATGCACGCACGCGCACGCACACACACACACACATGTGCGCACACTTGCTCACCAGCGCACACGCAAATGGCAGACAGCACATGGAACACGAAAATGCAGGACGCATTGAGATACCCAACATGCCAAGAACAATGTACAAGTCGCTGCGTGACTCGTACGGTCGAGCGCAATTGTTTCAGCATGAAGCGCACAGCAGGGAAAAGAACACCTAGTGTTGCCTGTAACCTCTCCCCCCTCCCTCCCTCCATCCATCCCTTCCCTCCTTCCCTCCACCGCTCCCTCCCTTCCCTCCTCCCTTCCCTCCCTTCCCTCCCTTCCCTCCCTCCCTCCCCCCCATTTCCCCCCCTCGCTCACCAGTGTTATCGAGCAGCGTATACGAGCCGCGCGTGATGACGTGGTAGGGGTTCTGCCCCTTGATGGGGTAGCTGCTGACCTTGTACTTCACCACTATCACCTCCTCCATTGTCACTGCCACCGTCGACCCGCTCGCCACGAAGTCCTGTGCGAGGGTGGGTGAAGGGGCGGAGAGAGGGGTGAAGGGTGGAGTGAGTGGGTGGGTGGACGCAGGGCGCAGTGAGTGGGTGGAATGGAGAGAGAGGGTGACGAAGCGAGTTAGATGAGATGGGGGGGAACCAGGACAGGCGAGGTAAGGGCGAAGGGGGAGGTGGGGAGAGGGAGATTGCAGGAGAAACGAGCGGAGCAGACGTTTGAAGGAGCATTGGGACGAGGGGTGAGCAGATGGGAAAGACAGGGAGTATGGGTGGGGATGGGAGGGGCGGACGGGAGAGGGGGGAAGGGGAGGGAGGACTCTAGATCAGTTTATTCAAACACAAAACCACTCAATAACGACTCAACATGGAGTCTCCGCCCATTCCCTCCGCCCACCCAGTTCCTTTCTCCCCACACCAAAAACCCCCTTCCCTTCCTCCCCGCCACCCCTCCCCCTCCCTCTCCCCCCCTCCCTCTTTCCCCCTGTTCCTCCCCTTCCCCCTCCTTCCACGCGCACTCACCCCTAGCAGCTGCAGAATCTGCGGGGTAGTCGCGAGCATGAGCGCGCGCGAGCCCGGCGGGAGCAGCAGCGTCGGCTCGCCCGGCGGTCCGAACAGGCGGCTCGCGCCCAGCAGATCCCCCGACGCGAGCGCGTTAAAGAACGCCTCGATAGACGCCTGAATGCCCACCAGCGCCGAGCCCGCGTCCGGCCGAATCGGCCTCGGCCCGCCGCCGAACCCGGCGGCCGTCGCCGCCGCCTGCGCCTCCGCGAACCACGCCGCCTGCATTTCCGCCTCCAAGTCCGACCGCGCCGCGCGGGGGAAAAGCTCGGACGCGCCGCCGGTTTCTCCGCGGAGAAGCGCCTCGCGGAGGCCCTCACGGAGGCCGTCCGCCGCCGAGGGGGATGGGGGGTGCGGAGGGGTCGGACGGGGGGGAGGCGGAGGCGGCGATTTCTTAGGAGCGGGGAAGTCGTAGTTCCACGCCATCCAGCTAACCGCCCAAATGTAGAGCGAGTTGTCGGCCGCGTCGCCGGCAGAGTTACTGGCCGCCGCGTTATCGGCCACGGCGCCGGCAGCAGCGGCAAGCCCGTCGTCACGCACAAGGTCCCAGAGGAAGACGAACTTAGCCGGGCCCTGCAGGGTCCACATGGAGCCGAGCGTCGCGATGGAATAGTCCAGGTAGCGTTTCGGCGTCGGCTCGTACACGTCGAGGCGCGTGACGGCGAACGTCGCGCCAATCAAATCTTGCCGCTGCTGCAAGAAGGTGGCTTGGGAGATCGGATCCGGGAGGTACTGTAGCGGCTGGTCCGGCGGGAGCACGAGCGCGAGCGGCGCGAAGAGCTCCCGGGCGGCTTTTTCGTAGTTGCCGACCGCGAGGCGCGCCGCGGTGCGCGTGAGCAGGTTGGAGATGAATTTCACGGCGACGGACACCTTGGGATCGCCGAGAATCGTGCTGCGAACATCGACGGCTGAGGATGCATCTTGTGGTTTCTCCAGAGCAGGGGAGTGGAGGCCGACGGAGGGATAGGTGGTGGTATCTAAGGCGTTGCTGCTGCTGGAGGCAAGCAGCAGCATTGCGAAAATGAGGAGGGTAGACGAAGCGCGTTCCGCCATAGCTGCAGGAGGAGAGCCGGACCGCACAGAGCCGAGAGACCCTCCTAGAATGCTTATTAGAGACTATCCCTTCTCTGCAGGGACTTGTCTTGTAATTACGGAGGCAGAGAGGGGAGGGAGCTCTGGACGGAGGGTAGGGGTGAAGAACAAGGACCAAAGGGGAAAGGGAGGAGAGGGGGAGTGGAGGTGAGGAAGAGAGAATGAGTTGGGTTGGAGGGGGGATTTGCGGGAATGGAAGCGGGGGGAAGGGGGCTGGCAGTCAGTGACTGACTGACATGCGCCCTGCGGTGGGCCTTTTTGTGGCGCACGACGGGGTAAGGACAGGGTGTTGGGGGGGGAGGAAGACACGCGCTTCGCATCGCGCATGGGGCTTTGTTGGGGGACTTGCGCCAGCCAGTGGCAGCATTCAGTGAACAGTGGTGACGGCACTGACGAAATGTCCTCGTGCCTGCGTGCAGAGAATCTTGTACGAGCAAGGGCAAGACGAGGTTTGTTGTGAGAAAATGCTTCACCAACGAGTTTGGGTAACTGAAACGGTTCAATTTCTATACATACCGTAAATCGAGGTATCGTATAGAGGATACATACAAATCTTCTGCGAAGGCTGTCATCATTTGTGCTGCGGCTGCGTCAGCACTCCCCCAGGACATGAGAAATGAGGTCCATGTCAGGTGGTGGGATGGCACAAGCCCATTGGCTGCCTTTGAGGATTGCTCATTGGTCGACACGAAGTGGTGACACAGAGCCAGCCTGTTTGGCAGTCCCCGAATATTTCGGACTCATGACTGGAGCGTCTGGGCCAAATTGTTAGCAAATTCTTGTTTCCGCTGCACTTACCCCGGATCCACACTGAAATTGTAATCCGAGGGCCACAGAGACAATAGCTCCTGGGCTTCGGGTAGCCTTCTAAAACAACCCTGAATATTCCAGAAACAAGCAACACAGGCTTTTTCGGGGTGGCTCTTGCAGACCAAGGGAGGATTCGTGGCCCGTGTCAGACTTCAGGTCAAAAGCCCTTAGTCTCCAATTTGGCTCATCCGAACTCGGATTTGCCTCACGAACGAGCCACTTCGGGTCTTCCGAGCCTCCACTTCGGGTATGACCTCATGTCTGACACGGACTACGAATACGCCCCAAATCCACAATGGTGGAGGCTTGTTGAGGCAGTGGCGAAATCCACAATTCCATGGGGCCTTGCCTGCCCAGAAGTCCTAGGGTTGTGTCCGGGCTTGCTCCACCTGGGAGGAACCAGGGCCAAATTGATGTGCTTTTTCGCTCAACCGCATTCCTCTCTTCATCATATGTTGCACTTGACATAGCGTACGCATGAGCTACTAGTTCCACTACTTCTGACGTACACCATGGGTCGACCATTCAAGCATTACCTCCAAGGCGCCCGTATCTACAGCTGTAGCAATTGTCGTAGCCATGCTGCAGACCACGACGAGATTATATCAAAATCTTTCCAGGTAAGGCATTTGACATCGCTTCTCATGGTCCCACCTTTACTCACCGTGACGCGCCTGAATTCTGACGAAGTCACTGATTTTGGTGGGCGCAGGGACGACACGGCAGGGCGTACCTTTTCTCAAACGTAGTGAATGTTATGGTAGGTCCCAAGGAAGACAGGCTGCTCATCACGGGACTGCACACAGTGGCTGATATTTACTGCGCTGAGTGCCATGAGGTCCTCGGGTGGAAGTACGAGAAGGCCTACGAGGACTTGCAGAAGTATAAGGAAGGAAAATTCATATTGGAGAAGGCCAAGCTGCTGAAAGAGAACTGGTGAGGTCATCCTCTTCCACCCTGACCTGCCGGAGTTGGTGCCAAAGTGTCTGGGCAGCAGGAGTGAGGAAGAGTTGACCTTGTATATTTTTGTACATAGTTAGACGCCCAATCTCATGTGTACATATTGTAGATGTTCATGGGTCCGTCCTTAGTCTGAAATGTTTTCCAAGCACATCAGCCCATTTGCTGCCTTGCGACAATTTTCAGTGCATCCAAAATTATAACTAGTCCTGGCCAATCTATATGGTAATTATCTGTCCATTTCGCTAAATAGCAGGTTGTACTGCCCTTGCAGAGAAATTATAGCATATGGACTATTTGTTACCTACAACTAGTAAAAATAAAGTGTACACAGCGACAACATCCACCATGCTGGACCTTTCACGTGCCATCTCTAAACTTGGCCGTTGACATCCACCCTTTTTGACCCACCAACGCATCCACGGCTGTCGTGCTCCACACGTGGATGGCTTGGGACAGCTGAACTGGAGCTTTTGCCCGCTTCTTCAAAGGAGGCGGAGGCAGAACCAATCAAAGTGAACTTGCCAACCACGAAGGTATCGATTGGGTTGTTGACGAAGCGTCACACATCAATCACCAAGGGCGCCTCGAGTCCTCGACCATTGGGTGATCCCCCCAGTTTCTTCACTCAGCCTGTCCCCAACAACCAGCCTCGCACAACAGGCGGATGTCTCTGATCAGCGGACCTGGGTCCTCCAACTCGATCCAACCCTGAGCCGATTGCTGGGAGTATATGAACTTGTCGGCTTTCATTTTAACCTGGCTCAGTCCTCCATTCTTCCCAGTGGTCGTCTCGTCACTCCCTTCTTGAAATCCTACCATGGCTTCCACTGCAAGCAGATGGATTAAGCCCGAGGTCAGTGTTTGGGAGTCTGTCGTCTGTGTGTGCACTTCGCCTTTTCCCTGCTTTTAATTATGTCGGACCCGCTTTTGCGTGTGGTACTTGCCTTTTCAACAGGTTTACCCGCTCCTTGCGGCAGTGGGAACTGCAGCTGGGCTCTCTATCTTCGCACTGACACGGAAGATTATCGCGGATCCTGGAATCAGGTACGATGCAGGATTGTGTTTCTTCAGACTCCTCCGTCTCGACATTTCGCGATACCAGCGCTATGCTGGCAAGTGGTTCACGTTCTTACTCTTGCTCGCTATGCGTGTTCCTTTTGCAGTGTGAACAAGGAGGTCAGAGCCCATGGCATGGCTGACGATTTGAAGCAAGGGCAAAAATACAAGATGAACTTCGTTAGAAGAGCAGTGGCCGATCGTTCTCCAGAAATCATGCCTGCTTTCAATCGGTGGTGTATTGGCACTCCGAAGTAAGGAGGCGATACTCCCGTATGTATTCATTGCCTTACATTCGTGCCAGCCCACAATAGCTGTCCATGTTGCGTTCGGGCACTGCGTAATTTCTAACAAAGCATCAGCATACCCTTGCAAAAAAATAGCATCGTGAGCGGAAATAGCTAAGACCGTGTATCGGCTCCAATCAATACGTGCAGTAATTGTCTAAGGGTTTTACTTGAATTGGATAATTTCACAGACGACATAGCTCCTTCATATTATTGTGTGTAAACGATGTTACCATGTCAAATTAGGCATGTGGAAACATTACTGGATCACTCTTGATTAAGTGACTTCTCTCCATTGCCCTTCTACCCTTTTGTTGGCAATTGGTCGAAGCCTACATTCAGCTGACGTAAAATTTTGGAGAAGGTATCAACGCCGGGGCTGCACATGAGGCTGCACGACATGGTGGTAGGAAGGGGATCAACGCCGGGGGTCTTAATTCACCTTTGCACAATAAGCTGGTAGCTAACATAGCAGCGCTTCTGATCGTTTCTTTCCTATCTAGAAAGGGGTTCAAAACTGAACGGTCACCTCCCACCTGCACATCTTAAGCTGGCGGTCAGCATGGCAGTAATTTGATGTAATGCTGGACAAATCCACTTCTTACAGTTATTACTTGGCAAATGAGCAAGAAAGAATTTCATTAGACAGTTTCGGAAGGATCAATCGTATCCACAAGGCTTCAGCCTGCTTCTACACATTTACCATTCAAAAACATGTCCGATGGACCTAACAAAAATCCAAGATCACCATTTAGTAGAGGCTGTCCTCCTGGTGGGTCTGGACGGTCAGGTCGGAGGTGGGGTAGGCGATGCAGGTCAGGACGAAGCCCTTAGCCATCTGGTCGTCATCAAGGTAGGACTGGCCAGACTGGTCAACGCTGCCGGCGGTGACCTTGCCGGCGCAAGACGAGCAAGCACCAGCTCTGCAGGAGTAGGGCAGGTCGAGTCCGGCCTCCTCAGCGGCGTCGAGGATGTACACGTCGTCAGCGACATCGATGGTGGAGGTACCGCTGGGGGTCTCGAAGGTGACCTTGTAGGAGGCCATGGAGACGCGAGCAGCGGAAGGAGCAACCTTGAAGGTCTTAGCGACGCTAGTCTTCAGGGTGGTGGAGGCCTTGAGGGAGGCCACGGGGGCAACAGCCATGGTAGCGGCAAGGGCAGCCATTTCTGAAGGATGAGGGTTGAGAGCTGCACGAGGGCTACACGAGGTTGGCTGTGGAGAGATGGGCGTGACGTGAATGAAAAAGTGCCTTGGCACAAGAAATATGAGCTCCCAACACGAGGCTCAGCCTTCGGGAACATGGGATTGGTGCTGCCTATCTGGCACAAAGATTTGCCAGTGGCATAGGATGGCGAAAAATGGATAGGCTCGAACCTTCAGAGCACGCCCACGAGAGGCCAAGAGAGGGCTAGGCTGCCACCTATGCTCATCCGCCAGCCACGTCGGTCGCCGAGTGGGAAACGCGTGTACAACACTTTGAGAGGCGAATGTGGTAACGGTGCATGCTCCGTCGCGAAACGAGTTTTGGGAGCTGCGTCGTGCACCAATCAAGTTTGCAAGGCTGACAATCAAACCCAACAGGATCACGTAAACAGTCTGCGACTGGTTGGACAAACTTCTTAAATATGTGAGCTAAATATATATATATGTAGCAGAAATATACAACATTCGTCAAAAAGAGAGGCCACCATGAAATTTATTGTTATGTGACGGCCTCAGAATAAAACCGTTCAAAGTTTATACAAAACAAAAATGAACAATGTTCTAGCCACAATATTGAGCTGCTGCTTCTCTACCGCATGTAGATCGTTGTATGACTCGGCCAGTTTCCGCTGTGCAAGTTTCCCCATCCTCTTGGCACCGCAATATACAGCTCTTTTCCCTGCTTCCTTGTCATACGCCTGCAGAAATTGGAAACATACTTTCGCCTTCATCCTAGAGATGGTAGCACAGAACAGTTCAACTAAGGGCCAGTTTGGAGTGGTCTACTACTACCCTGTGAAGAATGCTCATGTTGTGTCAAGCGCTTCTCATTTTGCTTCGGAGTACTTGGCAGGAGTTTGTTGAGCCTTCAATAGGTTGAATACCTGGCAGGGTACGCGGCCTCCACCGAATGTGTATCACCGTTTCAAAAACCAGTACCGCATTGGTTGTTGGTGTTGATGTTTATCAAACAGATGTAATTCCTTGAAACACGTAAGGCACATCCGGCGAAAAGTGTCTACAAGGAGTCCCAGCCTCACTCCACAAGTGCATGCACGTACTCGCTATAATAGAATGTACGCTCGATAAAGCGACCCACAAAATGGGCAGCTGTGGCAAAAAGCAGAGCCCCAATGGCAAGAGGCACAGCAATGCCGAGGGAGAAGGGCAATCGTTGGAGAGCAGCGAGGGTGGGGAGCAGGGCGAGGAGAGCAAGGCAGGCAAAAGCCGCGGCCCACAAGGCAAGTCGCACACGAGATGCAAGGCGCTGGGCTGACTGGCATGTCTTGCAGATGCTGATGTGGCTCACTTGCCTGCTCGGGGGCAGGAAGAGACACAGAGGAACAGAGGAACAGAGGAACAGTAGAACAGAGGAACAGAAGAACAGAAGAACAGAGGAACAGAGGAACAGAACAGAAGAACAGAGAAACAGAGACTTCAGAGGGGACAAAGGGGCAAGCAAGAAGACAACAGGCCAGGGGGCTTGAACTAGAACGGTAGAACCAAGGACAACATATACTGGAGAAACAACCAGGAAGAGGTGAAGTGTTTATGAAGAATCCCTTCCCCTTCCTCCCCATAAGAATCAGGCGTACAAAGCGCACGCGAAATGGTGATGGGAGGAACGTCTGGAGTTCTGACCTGTCCATGACTTGCTGCTTGGGCAGAGCGGGAGGAAGCGCAGGGTTGACGTAGGAGGGCCAGGCGACCCCTCCCCCGGCATAGTTATCCATCCAGAAGCGGAACGCCGTCACGAATGCATCCGACCTCGTCGGTGTGAAGTACGCCTTGTTCGTGCTGATACTTGTGCTGCTGCCATTGGTGGTGGTGGTGCTGCTGCTGGTGATCATGGTGTGGGGCTTGGCACTAGTTCCCGCGGCAGCAGCCAGGAGAAGCTTTTCTTCTTCCAGTCTCCGCTCCTGAATGCAGGGGGGGAAGGGCACGACAGGGAGTGGGAGGGGATAGGGGTACGACAGGGCATGACAGTGATGCGTGTTGACGAGGGGTTGACAGGGCATGTGTGGGAACGCGGGCATGGTAGGGGCAGGCATATGGAGGAAAGTACGATCCCATAAGGCACCTCAGAGAATGCATTTTTCTCTCCCTCACCCCTCCCCCATTCACCAGCACGTGCAGAAAGTAGTAATCAGAGTTGGGGGTATGGAGTCGGGTCTCAAAAGATGATGAGCCGGAGCAGGTGAGTTCAGCCATATGAGACGTCTCAAAAGATGATGAGCCGGAGCAGGTGAGTGAGAGGAAGGAAACTGCCAAGTCCCGAAACCTCCCCCTCCCTCCCCTGCCAACACCCTTCTACCTCTGCAACCCCAACTGCCTCCGTCTTCCCATCCTCGCTCTTCCTCTCCTCCTCCCCCTTCGCCTTACCAGCACGTGCAGGAGTATTGGTCCGAAAGCTCTCACAACCCAGTCACCCCAACCCCCCTCTCCCTGCAACCCCAACCCCCCTTCTCTTTCCTCGTTCCACACTCCCCTCCCCTTCGCCTCACCAGCACGTGCAGGAAGTAGTGGTCTGAGTCGAGGATCACGAGCTGCGTGAGGAAGGTCTCACAACCCGCCCTCCCTTCGCCCCTGCCTCACTCCCCTCCCCACAAACCCAACCCCCTTCCACTTTCCACCCTCCCCCTCCCCTTCGCCTCACCAGCACGTGCAGGAAGTAGTGGTCCGAGTCGAGGATGACGAGCTGGCGCAGGTGCGTGAAGAAGCGCGGCACGAGGGCGACGATGGGCGGAAAGAAGTTGGAGGGGAAGGTGAAAATGAGCCGCGACTTGCCGGGAGAGGTGGGGATGCAGTAGAAGGCTAACACGAGCTTCTTGGGAGGGTCTGATGGGGGCTGGTGGGGGGAAGAGGAGAGGAAGGCAGGGAGAAAGTTTCAAATACGAGCTCAAAACGGAGAGGCGTGGGGGTGCAGTGGGAATCCAGCACAGGCTTCTCGGGGGGACCCGAGGGGGGCTGGTGGGGAGGGAGAGGAGAGGATGGATGGAAGGGGAGAAGACAGGAAGAGTTTGTGAGATATGATGATGCGAGTGCAGCATGGGATAGCCGTGGGTGTGCAATGGGAATCCAGCACAATCTTCTTGGGAGAGGGGCTGGTCGGGGAGAGGGGAGGGGGGTTGTGTGGGGGAGGGGAGGGGAGGGGAAGGGGAGAGGAGAGGAAGGCAGGGAGAATCTCGGAAGCATGAGAGGGAGAGCCGTGGGGATGCAGTACAAGGCTACAACGAGCTTCTTGGGGGGATTTGAGGGGGACGGGGGGTGAGGAAGGAAAGGGAGAGGGGAAGGAAGTGAGGAAACGGAAGAGGAGATGGAGGGGAAAGGAGAGGCGAGGAGAGGAGGAGTGGAGAGGAGGAGGAGTGGAGGGGTGGAGGGGTGAAGGTTTTGCGCCAGGGAGGTTTTGTGCCAGGGAGGGTGTGGAGGGGTGGAGGGTGGAGGGGTGGAGGGAAGGAGGGGTGGAGGGAAGGAGGGGTGGAGGGAAGACCCACCTGGCCAGGTTTGGGCTGCACAATGATCTCCTGTCGAGCGAGCGTGGGCGGCAGGAACTCAAACGGCCTACGAGGCGCCTCAAAAGTGGGTCGGTACGGGGAAAGGAGAGGCGTGGAGAGGAGAGGAGGGGTGGAGGGGTTACCCACCTGTCCAGGTTTGGGCTGCACGATGATCTCCTGGCGAGCAAGAGCATTGGCGGCAGGAAGGAACTCAAACGGCCTATGAGGCGCCTCCGAAGTGGGTCGGTACGGGGTCAGGAGGAGCGAAGGGGTTACCCACCTGGCCGGGCTTGGGCTGCACGATGATCTCCTGGCGAAAGAATATTGAGGCGCCACGAGAGGAGGGGAGCAGTGGAGGGGAGCTGGCTGGAGGGGTTACCCACCTGGCCGGGTTTGGGCTGCACAATGATCTCCTGGCGAGCGAGCGTGGGCGGCAGGAACTCAAAGGGGCCGCCCTGGTCGTTGGACCCCTGGAAGCCCGTTGCTCGGATGCCGTTCACTGTCAGATCCAGCGGCTTGCCAAACTTGCGGTTGCTCTGGAGGGCGGGAGGCGGGGAGAGAGGGGGGAAAGGAATAAGAGGGAGAGAGGCAGAAGGCACGAGTTGGGGGAGGCGTGTAACCTGTTGCACAGATGCCCTTTGAATCGACTCAAAAGATGCCCGCACATGGCAGTGGGTGTGTGATTGATTTTTGAGGCGCCTCAAAAATCGACTCAATAGATGCCCGCAGTTGGCAGTGGGTGTGTGAAGTGATGGTGGTGTCACTTGTTGTTGTTGCAATGGGAGGTGGCCAGGGGCTTAGTTAGTAGCGGCAGTGGCAGCACAAGCGTAGGCTGATACTGTAGAATGGGAATTCGTGAGAATTCTCGAATGGTCCTTTCAATTCAACGTACCATGATCTTGTGATGCGCAAAGGGCACGTGGGCAGGGTCGACCAGATTCTCCACCAGTAGCTCGTACCTGGGACGGGGTGGGGCATGGGGGCATAGGGGCATGGGGGCATAGGGGAATGGGGGCATAGGGCGCATAGGGGATGGGGGGTTGTGGTTGTGGGGGCATGCGGCAAGGGCAGGAGGTTCACTGTGTGGAGAACCCAGGGTCCACTAGATTCTCCACCAGCACCTCGCAGCTGGGAGAGGGTGGGGCATGGGGGCGGGATAGAACACAACAGAACATAGGGTGTGGGGGGGCATGGGGCACGGGGGACGGGCATGTGAGCACGAGGTCCACTCAGTGTGTGGGCAGTGAAACCTCGTGCTCCACCAGCAGCTCATATCCGAGTGTGTGGGGCATGGGGGCATGGGGGCATGGGGGCATGAGGGTATGAGGGCATGAGGGCATGAGGGAATGGGGGCATGGGGGCATGGGGGCATGAGGGCAAGGGGGCATGAGGGCGTGAGGGCATGAGGGCATGGGGGCATGAGGGCATGGGGGCATGGGGGCATGGTTCAAGGGGACGTAGGGCATGAGGTCCGTCTGAACAACGTCTCCTTGGAAGGTGGGGTCTTCGAGTTCAAGCACCACAGGCGCGGGGGAGGCAGCAGCTTCCCTCTCCCCCTCTCCCCTTCTCCCCCTCTCCCGCTTAGCCCGTCACCAGGCCCTCTGCCACTCACCCGTACTGCAGGTCCGTCTGCACGACGTCTCCTTGGAAGGTGGGGTCTTCGAGCTCGGGCACGACGGGCACGGGGGAGGCAGCAGCTTCGGCAGCAGCGGAGGGCGAGTGGTCCATCCAGATAAAGACTATGCCGTGCCGCACACACGTGGGGTAGCTGCGCGCGCATGCCCGGGCGGACGTGTTCACCTGGTGGTGTTGGGGGGAAGAGGTGGGGCGGAGGGAAGGGCGGAGGGGGGTAGGCAGGGGCATGGGGGAGGAGGGGAGTGGGATGGAGACGGTTTTTAAAGCAGCCCAAGAACAGAATGCTGGATGCACGCGAGTTAGCTAGCGCCGCGCACGTGCTTCGAGGGAGGTGTTCAGCTGGTGGAGTTGAAGGCTGGGGGAAGTTTGGGGGGAAGGGAAGGGCGGAGGGGGGGGGGGGGGGGGGGGGGGGGGGTTGATGACAACCAAGATAGATCAAGGCAGGGAGGGAGAGCAGAGGCAGAAGCTTGCTGCGGGCCTTGCTGCTCTGCTCATTTTGGAGACTCATAAGGACAGAAACCGGTATCCGCAATGCGATGCGTACTGTGCTGCTCTGTCCGATCATGTGCTGTGCTGTGCTGCACTGTGCGGTGCTGGGCTGAGGGGCTGACTGACTGACCGGAGGACCATCGGAGGGGGCCTGGGGGATGAAGGTGCAGGAGGTATCGGGAGCAAAGGTCCATCCGTGGTAGCTGCACTGCAGGTCTCCCGATTCGTGTATGCGCCCCTCCGATAGCGGTGCTAGCCTGCTCTCCCATGCACAGACGGACGTGAGTACACGCACATGCACACCCGCGAGCAAACATGCATGCGCACATGCACATGCACGCGCACATGCACATGCACCCGCACATGCACATGCACATGCACATGCACATGCACATGCACATGCACATGCACATGCACATGCACCCGCACATGCACATGCACATGCACATGCACCCGCACATGCACATGCACATGCACATGCACGCGCACATGCACATGCACATGCACATGCACCCGCACATGCACATGCACATGCACATGCACATGCACATGCACACGCACATGCACATGCACATGCACGCTCACATGCACATGCACATGCACATGCACACACACATCCATGCACATAATAAATGCACGGTGCAACCGGACAGGGAAATGTGGAGAGAGGCAGTGAGTGACGAGGCAGGTAAGAGCGCACGAACGGCACGGCAGAATCATGTGCTGCTGGTTCTGGTGGTGCTGCTGTAAGGCAAGCATGTGACGCAGCGAGGCGATCAGTTGATTTATTCTGAAAATGGCACCTGTGTGACACGGCAGGCAGGCACCTGTGCGACACAGCAAGCAGTCGCTTGTGCGACAGAGCGTGGATCAGGCACCTGTGCGACACAGCAAGCAGTCGCTTGTGCGACAGAGCGTGGATCCGGCACCTGTGCGGGCAGAGGTCGTGGAATGCGAGCCACTGCGCGGAGGGCGCGTGGAACCAGATCACCACGGGCCGCCCCAGCAGCGTCAGCGCCACGGGCACGCGCGGATCCAACTCGCGCACCACGGCTGGCGGAGGGGACCAGGGGGAGGGGGAACGGGGAACGGGGGAGGGGGAAAGCGGGGAGGGTTCTCGGAAGTGACTCGGGCATGCTCGTTGCGCATCTCTTAGAAAAACGTCACGTGGGCAACGGTTTGGACGCACACAATTCGACGCTTTTTTGCACGCGGACGCGCGTAACGGTGCTGCCAGGGCGCAAGATGATCCAATCAACCCACGCCCTTGGTTCGCGGAATGTCAAAGTCCCGTTAGTGACACTCCCGTTAGTCACATTAACGTATCAAGCCGTATCAAGGCCACGTACCTGCAGGATACCAGTTTTTCTCCCACACGAATTTTGAGCCCGCCGCATTATCTCGCGCCGCCTCGGCTTCCGGGCGCCATGCCTCCGCCGCCGCGCTGTCGCTGCCGGAACCAGCGGCGACAGACGCGCCAGCTTCGACAGCCATCGCCACAGTCGCGCGCTGCTGACGTGGCAGCGCGCGATTGGAGCGCAGCGAGGGGAAGAGAGAGCGATGATTGATGCTGGCGACGCGAGACGACGAGGGGCCGGAGGCGCGTTCATGATGATGCGAACGGCTCAGCGTTATTTGCGATGACGGACGGTTGCGATGGACTTGCAGCGACGGCGCGGCAGAGCGACGGCATGCGTCGCGGCAAGGCTTTAAGGGAGCGAGAGATGCAGGGCCGCGGGCGGCGGCTAGTTGCGACGCCATGGTTGGCTGGTGGAACAGCTAGATTGCCGCAGGTAGGCTAGAAGCACACTCCAAGCACGAGAGAAATGAGCGGGAAGTGAGGTTGGACTTGCGGGTTGGGGTAGGCTCACGCACACACGCGGGATTGCCTCAGGATGGTCAAGCAGCCAACTTGGAGTGGTGCTGGATTTGAGTCGAGAAATTGGTGATGAAAAAGGGGCGAATTTGCGTACGATGAGTTGGTTCTGCGTGCGACGCATTTGCGGCATCTGGCTGGCTGCGAATGGGTGTGTTTCTCGGATGAGTGTTGTGGCGACGCGTGTGCGATGCGAAGCGACAGCGTGGCATTTCGTGGACCAACCTGGTTGACGACGTGGAGATGAGGACATGAACGGACGATGTGCGTTGAACGAGGATGTGCTGGACTTGCTAGTCCATGACCACGATGTGGGCGAGAGTAATTTGTGTAAGAGTTGCTGCTCCGAAGTGTAACAAGAGGCTTGTTCACAACGCTGTATCGGGCTTGCCATACTATCAGCATTCTTCTTTTTTCTTGGGCTGGGTCGCGTGGTAACGCCCCTCTCCATTTGGCGGAGGTGGTGACTGATGGTGTCGCCCAGCACGAATATCCTGGGTACAAATATATTAATTGGTTCCAACTCCGCTAAGGAGAACTCAGGGCAAACCCGACAACCACAGCTATTATTACATAAGTTTTCCGTGTTTCGTAACAAATAGCATACAAAGTTTGGCCGTTCATTGTTTACTCCGCCGACCAGCAAGAATCGAGACGACTTGACTTGTCGCAGGAAGAATCCCCCACATACCCGCCAACACACCGCTGATTCTTTCGCCGACAGCCAGCGAGGTCTGACAGCGTCGCACAGGCTCACAACTTTCTCGTCCACCACGTCAGCCCATGGACGAAACGAAGCACTCGATTGGGTCCGAAAGCAACAGCCACAGCATCGCTGTACAAACTCCTCCACGACCGCGACTCTACGCACCACACCTACGTCCTATGCGAACGAGTCGCGACCAATCCAATGAACGCCCTCCGTTGTGCGAAGACAAGCGAGCACGAGAAGAAATAGTGCCCCCCCACTTCCTCCTCCTCGCTTCACCCATACCCCCCATCCGCACACACCCAACCCCCCCCTCACCCCTGCATAGACAAGCAAGACTAGAAGAAGAGTCAACCGACAAGATTCAATCCAAAACCTTCGAATCAAAACACCACACACGGCATTTCCACTTTCTTGTTCTCCTCCCTCCCTCCCTGCTGTTGGTATCGCCTGTTCTTTTGCACAAAGAACCACCTTGAAAACACCGTCTATCCGTTTTACGAAGATGCTTGCAGCCCCCTTTCAATGTCAACCGTGTCTCTTATCTAACGTGCCCTATCGTGAGCCTTGAGATTTCACAGCTATTTGGGATTCGAAGGGCGACCAGTCACCTTCCATCAAGCGACACACAGCTACGCCTGAACTGTCTTGTATCAAGACCACGCCTAAGTCCGTCGGCCAGTGACAACTGGTCACTCAGTCTCCCTTTGTATCCGTCAAACCCCTCCACTCTCGACTTGACGGAAAAGAAATAATAGGTATTTGAAAGTACGCCATGCCTCGCCGGAACAATGGCAGCGGCGACTACGGCGGCGGCGCGCGCGGCCCGTCGTCGCCGGGAATGGCGACGGCGGTGGAGAGTCTGTTCGGCGCGGACTCGTGGGACGGCGGCGCCGCGTTTCACGCGAGCAACAGCAGCGGCGGCATGAGCGACGGCGCGGCATCCGCGTCGAAGCCGCGTTCCGTGCACGTGCCGAAGCTGCGCAAGGGGAAGGTGAGACGAAACTCGGTGACGCGTATGTAATAATGCTGTGTGTGCCGGTGCAAGCATAACGTCAGCTAGCCTTTCTGCCTTGAAACTTACGGCTCCCCGCCTCCCGCCCTCCTCCCCTCCCCATCCCCCATCCTTTGAAACCCTATCTTCTTCTGTCTCTTCAATTCAAAAATAATGAAAGCGCGCATCACAGACCGATTGTTCCTGGACTCAGCAGCAGCCTGTGAAAGCTACCCTGCTGCTCTTTTGCTTCCCAACCTGCGACCAGTACAATCCACAAGCATACTACACATCCCTTCTCTGCTCTGGCTAATTTTTATTGATCTTTTTTTTTTTTTTTTTTTTTTTTTGTCGTCCTCTTTCTCTCGTGCTCCCGCTGTAATCCCGTTCGTTTCTGTCGCGCCGGCGCAGGGCCCCTCCGCGGCGCTCCCCGTGTTCGGCTCGTGGAACGCTCCGCAGCCCCCGCCGAATTTCAACAAGGGCTCGTCGGCGGAAAACGCGGCGGCGCAGGCGGCGGCGGCGGCGATCCGCGCGGCGACCGCGGGCGCGGGCGGGGACGGGCAGCCAAAATTCACGGAGGTGTTTCGCGCGAAAGGGGAGCAGCGCGGGAACGGGCAGTGCGCGTGGCCTGAGTACGACGCGATTCTGGCGAAGCAGACGATGATGCACGATAGGCTGCGCGCCGAGCAGATGCTGACTCAGCAGCAGCAGATGATGACTCACCACCGGCAATCAAGCAAGGTGAGGTTTAGAAGCGTGTTCTTTGACTACCGCCATTTACGGCTGCTATTGCTTCATTGCACACGCCATTGCTCCAGTCGCCTTTATGCCGCTTCTCCTCCTTTTTTTTTTTCCAGAATGGAAACACGTTTTCCATTGAAAGGCTTCAAGAGGCCAGTAAATAGGACACGGCTGTGCAGAATGGAAACCTGCGGAGCACACGGCGGAGCGAAGCACAGAGCACAAAGCTCACGGAAACAAATGATTACACACACAGAAAGACACACAGAAAGGCCGGTTGCTTTTCTTCAGACGCCCCACGGATTGATTATTCACAACGACAAAATAGCTGCTGTACAAACAGTGCCACTAAGGCACAAGCAAGCGCAGCATGATGGGGCGAATGAGACTGGTTGCACTCTCTCACCTCGGTGGTCTTCTGAGTCGACTTTAGAGTCGCCTCAGTGGAATCAGTTGCTCAACCCACTAACATTCGCCTCCAGCCACTCCTCTCCTCTTATTCGCCTCCAGCCATTCCATGTGTGATAAGTCGATTTTTGAGTCGACTCAAAAATCGACTTAGCAGTTGCTCAACCCACTAACATTCGCCTCCAGCCATTCCTCTCCTCTTATTCGCCTCCACTCATTCCTTAGCTTGCCCGCCAGTAGCGCTGTTACTTGCCCCGTTATCTTCCTCCCCACCATCCCTCCGCGTCTCCATCCTTCCCCCCTTCCAACCCCCTTCCGCCCCCATTCTGCTTCCGCCTTACCGCTCGCCCTTCCAGCAACCCTCACCCGTCTTCTCCTCTCGTTCTTACCCGCCTCCTTACCCCCTTTCTCTCCCCCATCCCCCTCCCTTCCCTCCCCCACCCTTTCCCCTTGCGTTCTACCCAGAACTCCCTGGTTTCCCCACAGACTTCTGACTCCTCGTTCCCCCAGTCCTTCCCCCAGCCCTTCCCCAGCGTCACTTCTTCCCCCGACCCCTACGCCTTCCCCCCATCCGCCTCCCTTCCGCTGCCCCCATCCTCTGCCCCCGCGCCCCCGCCCTTCTTCCCCTCCTCCTCCTCTCTCCCCCAGCCCAGTACTGCCGCGCAGCCCCCCCCACCATCCCCCCCAGCGGCTCTCGTTCCGCCTATCGTCCTCCCCCCGCCTTCCGCCACCTCTGCCCCTTCCGACTCCGCCCCACCCCCTCCCTTTCTCGCGCCTGTGCAATCCGCACCGGTCCCTCCGCCCCCATTCGTCAAGCCCTCTCCCCTTGCTGCGTCTGAACCACCACCGCTGCACCGTGCCTCTCCCCCTGCTGGTTCGGACTCCCCACCGCTACACTACGCCTCTCTGCCTGCTGCCATGACTGCCCCTCCGCCTGCCCCTCCGCCTGCTGCTCCGTCTGCTGCTCCGCCTGCCCCGGCCCTTCCACCCGCCCCTGCGCGCGAGTATGGGTACGAATACGCGCCTGCCCCTGTGCCTTCGCCTGTCCGTGCCCCTGCGCATGCCTCTCCTGCTGTTGAAGCAGCACCGGCACCGGCACCAGCACCAGCCGCCGCAGCAGCAACAGCAGCAGCAGCAGCAGCAGCAGCAGCACCACCACCACCACCACCGGCAGCAGCAGCAGTGGCAGCACCGGCAGCACCGGCAGCAGCACCGGCAGCACCGGCAGCAGCACCAGCGCCGTCACTAGCAGAGATGCAGCAGCTGCAGCAGCGGCTGTTGCACGGGGAGGTGCTGAGCGCGGGGGAGAGGCAGCGCCTGGCTGCTGGGCTGGAACAGGTGCTTGCCCTTGCCATGGGGGGGCCGCCTGTTGCTAGCAGCAGCAGCGGTGGCAGCAGCAGCGGCAGCGTTGTGCAGAACCAGAGAGCAGCACTGGCAGCTGTAGCACCGGCACAAGCAGCGGCACCGTCAGCAGTGCCAGTGGCACCGGCAGCACCGGCAGCAGCAGCAGGCGTGGCAGATGGATATAACGAGAGTGAGTATGTTGAGAACGGTTGGGATGGTGGTGCTGGTGTTGGTGCCGGTGTTGGCGCTCTTTCTGGCACAGCCGCGCCCGTGTTTGCTGCTGGTGCTGCCCCTTCGTACACAAGTGGTGGCGAGGGAGGGGTAGCAGCACCAGCAGGGGCGGAAGGGCAGGGAACGCACGGGGGACAGGGAGCGCAGGGAGCGGGAGAGGTGCTGCGGGGAACGGGGAAAGAGGAGTTTGGGGGGCACGGGCATGGGGAGGGCAGTGTGGGGATGGCAGGGCGAGGGTATGTGTGGGGTGGGGAAACGGAGGGGTATGGGAGTGGATTGGAGGGGTATGGTGGTGGAATGGAGGGGTATGGAGGGGGAATGCAGGGGTACGGAGGGGGGATGCAGGGGTATGGAGGGGCGGGGATGGTGGCGATGAGTGCAGAGATGGGGATGGGATTGGCTGTGGTGGAGGAAGGGGAAGATGAGGGGCTGGATAGCGAAATGGCAGAGCAGAGTGAGGGGGGCGAGGTGGAGGGACAGAGGCAAGGGCAGGGGCAGGGGCAGGGGCAGGGGCAGGGGCAGGGGCAGGGGCAGGGGCAGGGGGAGGTAAAGAAGGGGTATGAAGGGGAAAGGGAGGTGGGGGAAGAGTGGAGCAGGAAGGAGGAGGCCGTTGTGGGAGTGGGGGTTGAGCGAGTGGGAGGAGGAGAGATTGGGAGTGAGGGAGAGGAGGGGGTGAAAGAGGAGGCCAGGGATAATTTCACTACCAGTGTCACAACCAGCGTTGCTACCGGTGTTGCCGCTGGTGTCTCTACCGGTGTTGCTACCGGTGTTGCTACTGGTGTTGCTACTGGTGTTGCTGCTGGGGAGGGGGCTGGGGAGGGAGAGGCAAAGGCAGCTGGGAGGGAGTACGAGCGGAGGTGGTGGGAGGAGGAATCCGGGCAGGAGTCTGCAGTAGGCGGGGGGGATGAGAGGGACGGCATGGGGGGAGGCGGTGGGGACGGAGGCGCGGAGTGGGGTCGTTTCCAGGAAAGGGCGGCGGTTGAAAGAGAGATGTTTGCTGCTGCTGCTGCTGCCAGGGGTGCCACTGCCTCGGATGTGGGCGCAGTAGGAGAGGTGGCAACACCGGGAGAAGCAGTAGCAGCAGTAGCGGCGCCGGCAGCAGCAATGGCAGCAGCAGCAGCAGGTCACACTGACCCGTCCGCAGGCCCGTTTGGGGTGGAGGGAGGAATGGAGGCGTGGGCGCATCAGGCACCCGCATCACTCTCACCACCCTCATCCACCAATGCACCAGCGGTACCTGCACCAGCAGCAGCAACAGCAGGAGCACCAGCAGCAGTGGCAGTAGCGGCGGCAGGAATGCCAGGAATGGGGCAGTCAGAGTGGGACTTACTACCAGGTGAGAAGGACGGAGGGGATGAGCATACGTACCCAGTCAACGAATCTGACAGTGCAGCCGGCATTGGTGACAGTGCAGGCACCGGTGGTGGAGATCGCAACAGCACCTTCCCCCTAACCTCTGTTTCTGCTGCTGCAGTAGGCACCGCTGCTGCTGTCACTGCTGCTGCTGCTACTCCTGCTGCCATTCCTGCTCTCTCAACCGTTGATGCTGCTCACTATTCTCCACCAGCCGATCCCACTCCTGCCGTGGCTGCTGGCGTTGGTGCTAATGCTGCTGCTACTGCTTCTGCGGCAGCGTCTTCCGCTGCTACAGCAGCCGCCCTTGCGGCTGCTCCTCCCTTCTTCTCCCCCCCACGGGGCCCGTCCGCCCTTACCTCTCAGAGTTACAGTTCCAACACCCAGCCAGGTGCTAACTCAGGTGCCCAGTCAGGAGGGCAGTCAGGCAATCAATCCGGTGAAGCGGGTGCAGGAGGGGGTCTGTACATGTTCAGCGGGCTGACAGGGAGTGACTATACCGGGAGTGACTATGCTGGCAGCGGCTGCTTTGTTGATCCAGGGAACAACTCTGGTGGCCCCCTTGCGGCCACCGCTGCTGCTGCTGGTGCTGGTGCCTCTGCGTTTGCTGCAGCAGGGACGAGGCCAGCAGCAGGGGGAGGAGGAGGAGGAGAGGGGGGAGGTGTGGGAGGAGTGGGGTATATGAGTGGTCAACCTCCAGTAGCAGCTGGGGGCGAAGGGGGAGTGGGAGCCGGGGGGGTCATGAGCGCGGGTGGGGAAGGAGCGAGCGGAGGGAGCGGCGGCGGCGGGTACACAGAGTTTTATGAGGCGCATATGGCTGGCAGGAAGCAAGAGACTACCCTGGGTAGTGACTATGGCCCTGCTGCTGCTGGGGCGGTGGTGGCAGGAGGGGGGGTGGCAGCAGGGGGAGTCGCAGCAGGAGCAGCAGGAGCAGGAGGATCGGTAGCAGCGGAAGAGGAGGCGGCATGGGCAGGCGGGGAGGCGAAGACGGGGGGGCAGGAATCGTCATGCGGGGCACTGGTGGAGATGGTGATGGCGCCGCCGTTTGTGGGCATGGACTCTCCCACGTATGTCAGGCGCGCTGGTAGCCTATCCCGGTCTGCTGAGATGCCACCAGCAGCAGCAGCAGCAGCAGGAGGAGGAGGAGGAGCAGCAGGAGGAGGAGACGGGTCAGGGGCTTTAGCTTTGGTGGCCGCGAATGCATCTGGGACGGTGTCAGGGTCGGGTTCGGGGTCAGGGATGGTTGGGGCAGGGGCAGGTTCGGGTGCAGGTTCGGGAGTGGTTTCGGGTGCAGGGTCGGACGTGGGTTCGTACAGTGGGCAGCGGCAAGGGAGTGATTCGGGAAGCATGTCTCAGGGAATGGGGCAGCAAGCGACGGGACAGCAAGCAATGGGACAGCAAGCGATGGGACAGCAAGCGACAGGGCAGCAAGCGACGGGGCAGCAGGGATGGCAGCAAGGCGGGTCGCAGGGATGGCAGCAAAGCGGGCCGCAGGGATGGCAGCAAAGCGGGCCGCAGGGGGCGACGCAGGGGGGCTTGTATGTAGGTCCAGGCCTCACAGGCCAACCCTATGCCTCTGGGGTTTTCCCACAGCAGCCATACTCGGGCCAAGCGTTTTCAGGAGCCTGGCAGGGCCAGGGGCCCCAGGGACACATGCAGGGGCAGTGGCAGGAGCAGGGGCAGGGACAGGGACAGGGACAGGGGACACAGGGGCAGGGACAGGCATACGGACAGGGACAGGGGCAGGGGCAGGGGCAGGGACAGGCATACGGACAGGGGCAGGGGCAGGGGCAGGGACAGGGAGCAAAGGGACCTCAGGGGCAGAGTCAGGGGTTGCCAGCCCCGGCGCAGGGTTATCCAGGGCAGGTGTACCCCGCACAGGGGCAAGGACAGGGGCAGGGGCAGGGACAGGGTTACCCAGCGCAGGTGTACCCGGGGCAGGTGTATCCTGGGTCAGGGCAGGTACCGCTACAAGGCGGGGTGGCGTATGCAGCAGGAGCAGGTGGAGGGTTTGCAGCTGCAGGAGCAGCGCTGGCAGGGCAGGCAGGAGCTGCACCACCGTATCCCGTAAGTGCTGCTGTACTGTGCTTGTGTTGCAGTGGTGTTGCAGTGGGGTTGTGGTGGGGTGGGGTTGTGGTGGTATGGAGGTGTGGTGTGGAATTGTGGTGTGCGTCCTGCTGGTTTGCTGCTGCAGCATTGTCGTTGCAGTTACTTGGGCGATTTCTGTTGCTGTCAGCCCTCCTCCCTCGCGTCCCCCTTCCCACTATCCCGCACGTCCACCCCCATGCGTCTATTCCCCTCGCTCTCGCACTCTTACCAACTCTGTCTCCTTTTGAGTCGACTCAAAAGTCACCTCGTTACCATCGCACACGACACACCTCTCACTATCCCGCACGTCCACCCCCATGCGTCTATTCCCCTCGCTCTTGCACGCTTACCAACTCTGTCTCCTGTACCTCCCCTGTACCATCACAGGTTCAGAAGCCAGCTCGCAAGAAAGGAGGCTTCTGTAGCTGCTTTGGCATTTGAGAAGAAATGGTATGAAATGGTTTGATGTGACAATGACTTGAATGGTATGCCTTCCTCCATACCGTCTAAGCTCCGCTGTCCAGCGTTTCCATTCAGTACATTTTCTTCCGTCCATACCTAGAATTTGTTTTTTTTTTTTTTTTACGAAGACACTTTAAGCTATTGGTATGTGCTTCAGTACTGTTTGAACAATATGTAATTTATATTATGTTTTGCAGTCTAAACTAGCTGTACCATTTGGTGCCATAAGAACCTATTGAATAGCCATTATTGAGAAATGTATGTGAAGGATAAGATGCTGGCTTGTACCGTACCATCGTTTGCATTCCTTACTCATTGTTATGGGTGCAATGAATCGAGGTAGCAAGAATTGCACTAAGGTGTCAAACGAGTAAAAAATGTGAGCGAAGGCGTGAGCGAACATTTATCCGCGAAACATGCAAACGGTAACGCGGTGCGTGCGAGCTAGCTAGTGCTGTGCTGGAAGTGGGGCTCGGGCTAGTCCCGAAGCGTAGGCCGACACGGCCAGGCCAGCAGTGCGAGGTTTGGTGAAACAATGCGCGCGAAGTCGGCGAAGCCCCGTTAGCAGTAACGGGCGAACAACGGCTGCTGCTGTACGCGATGTTGCAGGGCGCGCTAAGGAATATCGAGAAAATTCCTTACACTACCCCCCCCTCCTCAAAAAGCCCCCTCCGCTACACGAGTGCGTGTGTAACGCGGAAACCCCGGCTCCTCAGGTACACTTGCAGGGCAGGTTGGTTTTCGATATTGGCCAGGGGCACCCAACTATCTTCAGTTGGCGTGCGATCCTTCCAGCGAACGAGGGATTCAATCCTCTTGATTCCCGTGGGGTGTGGAATCCGATGGCTCGTGATTTTTTCGGGCTCGATGATCGGCTCCGATGCAGGGCGAGTCATGGATGGCGGGCGATGACGAGGCAGTTGGCTTGTGGTTGGGATGTATGGGCGAAGTAGGCTAACGTGGAACGAAAGGCTGATGTACCAGTCCGTCGGCAACAGTAGGTGAGCTGTCACTGGGGTAATCATGTGGTTGATTTGGAATGGCCCACAGTAGCGGGGTCGCAATTTCGGTACGACGGGCAGTCTTAAGTTCTGCGTATCGAGCAGTACGTAGTCTCCTGACTGGTACGTGACTGGGCGGCGGTGGCGGTCAGCGTTGCGCTCAGCGAAAACATTGGCCTTTTTAATTGCTTCTGCGGCTCTGGTGCGGGCAGCTTGCAGAACTTCGGCGAATTGATGTGCACGTGGTGTTGGGTTGTCCGGACTCGGCGTCATGGGCACTGCAGGGTTTTGCCCGTAGTTTAGGTAGAAAGGGGACTGCTGCGTCGTCGCTGATGTGGCGTTGTTATACGCGAACTCGATCAGCGGCAACTGCTGCTCCCAAGTGGTTGGGTCGTCGCACGTGGCACGAATCAACTGCTTTATTGTCTGATTCGTCCGCTCCGTTTGACCGTTGGTCTCGGGGTGGTACGACGAGCTGAACTGTAGCCTTGTCCCGAACTGCTCCCAGAGGTTTTTCCAGAAGTTGCTGGTGAACTTCGTGTCGCGGTCGCTGATTATCGTGGCTGGTATCCCGTGCAGTCGAACGACGGCTGCGATGAACAGGCGAGCGGTTTCTTCGGCTGAGATCGATTTCTTGCACGCAGCGAAGTGTGCCGTCTTCATCAGCCTGTCAACGACGACCATAACTGCGTCGTTACCCCCAGGGTTCGAAGGTAACCCCGTGACGAAATCTATGGTAACCTGCTGCCAGGCGCGCTCGGGCGGTGGAATCGGCTGCAGCTGACCCGTCTTTCTTTTTCGCGAGCTCTTCATCACCTGACACGTAGGACACGAGCCCACGTGGTGCTGTACGTCTGTCAACAGCTCCGGCCAGTAGTAATACCACTGCAGTTGCTGTCGCGTTTTTTCTACCCTGAAATGACCCGAGGTAATCCCGTCGTGTGCCTCCTGCAGTAACAGTTCCCTCAGTAGTGAGTACGCAGGTTCCCAGATGCGGTTGGTGCCTGTTTTTATGTAATAGACTCCTCTGGCCTCTGCCAGTTGCTGTGAGTTTCCGGTCGTGAAAAATGGGTCGGTACTGTATCCGTGGGTGAATAGGCCTGTTAACAATGGGTTGGTTTGGGCGAGTAGGATGGCGTGGAGTTGGGCGGTGGGGCGTGTGAGTGCGTCGGCGATGTTGGATGCGCCTTTTTTGTACGTGATCGTGCAGTCGAAGTTGGACTCCAGATAGTCCAACCAACAAATCTGTCGTGGGTTGAGATTCGGTTGGGCGCGAAGGTACTGTAGGGATCGGTGGTCTGTCCGTATTGTCACGTCTGCTCCTGTGAGGTAACATCGCCACACTTGGAACGCGTGCACGATCGCCAACATCTCGCGGTCGTGTATCGGGTAGTTGCGTTCGGGCGGGTGAAGCTTGCGGGACTCGTACGCGATTGGCTGAAGGCTGTTCTCGAAGTCCTGCAACAGTACCGCTCCCACAGCGATGTCGCTAGCAGCTCGAACGGACGGTGTGGATCTGCGATGTGAAGCACGGGTGGCGAGCACAAAAAAATGTTGAGGGCCGAGAAGGCAGCTTGCTCTTTCTCCCCCCACGTGTACTCGACCCCCTTCCTCAGCAGGTCGGTCAATGGGGCAGTCAGCTTCGCCATGTCGGGGACGAACCGGCGCACGTAGTAGACGAACCCCAAAAAACTCTGCAACTCGGTCGAGTTGGTCGGCGCGTGCCATGCTTGAATCGTCGCAATTTTTTGTCAGAACATTATGGCCTATGCTTTTGTGTAGGTTGTAGTGGGGTAGCCCATATAGGGTACAACCCAATTAGGGTTAGTACTTGTACCCAACTCTTTCATAGTGCATTCATTCTCGTTTCAGTTTCCTCATGGTATCGAGCAGGTTCCCTCGCGGGAACTGTTCCTAGGGCCCACCGATTCGATTTTTTTTTCCTGCCCGGAGCGCGCTCAGCCCTTGCCCGAGTCGCGCTCCCCCTTTCTCACTGTGTCGGGCCGCCCTAGCGGCTGTGTCGCGCCGCCCTTGACGGCCCCGATTTTGCGCCCTAGCGACCCCGTCGCCTACCCCGCGGCCCTCGAGCCGCCCTTCCCGGCCCCGATTCGCTGCGGCCCCGTCGCCTACCTGCGGCCCCGCCGCCTTCCTGCGGCCCCGTCGCCTACTTGCGGCCCCGTCGCCTACCTGCGGCCCCGGCGCCTACCTGCGGCCCCGTCGCCGACCTGCGGCTCCACCGCCTACCTGCGGCCCCGTCGCCTACCTGCGGCCCCGCCGCCTACCTGCGGCCCCGTCGCTTACCGACCCGGCCCAGTCTCTGCTGGCCCTGTCGCCTACCCTAGGGCCCCGGCGCCGCCCCTTCCCGGCCCCGGCCCAGCCCCTGCTGGCCCCGTCGCACGCCCTTCCCGGCCCCAACCCCGCCTTCACGCGGCCCCGCCGGGCTACTGCCGAGCCGCCAGCGCCACCCGAGCCGTCGCGCCACCTGAGCCGCCCGAGCCGCCGTCCCGCCGAGCAGCCTGAGCCGCCTGAGCCGCCCGAGCCGCCGTCCCGCCGAGCCGCCCGAGCCGCCCGAGTCGCCTGAGCCGCCCGAGCCGCCCGAGCCGCCCGAGCCGCCCGAGCCGCCCGAGCCGCCCGAGCCGCAGAGTAGCCGAGCCGCCGAGCTGCAGTTCCTCCCGAGCTGCCAAGCCGCCGAGCTGCCCGAGCCGCCCTGTCCGGTAAGAGTAGCGCCTCTGTCACTGCACTGCCCTTACCCCACTGTTCGCGCTACTAGTCTACTGGTGTCATGGCTACCCCTAGTGTCCTCGCTTTTGACGCTGAGGGTCGGGCCATTGACTTTGATGTCTGGGTAGATGACCTGCAGCTTTTCCTACAGTGCGATAGGGCAGACGGTCTCTCCCTCTTTGACCTCACCTCTGGTGCCTCTCCTGCCCCTGCTGCTGATGTTGACGCCACTGTTCGCTCACAGTGGGCCACACGCGATGCTGCTGCACGTCTTGCTGTGCGTCGCCACCTGCCTACCTCTGAGCGTGCGCACTTTAGCCAGTACAAGAGTGCCTAGACCTTGTACGACGCTGTAGTTGCACGCTACTCCTCCCCTGCCACTGCTGCATTGAGCCGCCTCATGCTACCGTACCTCTTCCCTGACCTTGCTGCCTTTCCCACAGTCGCTGACCTCATTACGCACCTCCGCACTAGTGACACTCGCTACCGCGCTGCGCTTCCTGCTTAATTCTGCGCCAAGAACCCCCCCCCCCCCATGTACATCACTCTCTACTACATAGTCACCCGCCTCCCTGACTCCCTTCGCGTAGTCAGGGACCACTTCCTCTCAGTTTGCCCCACCACCCTCTCCGTTGACCTCCTCGAGAAGGCCCTCCTAGCAGCGGAGAAGAGCATAGTCGCTGTAGGAGCCTCTCGTGGTGACCCTCGCACCCCCATCTTTGAGGGGTGTTCCCCCTCCCCCCTTTTGCCCTCTGATGCCTCTGCTACTGCGGCCGACCTCGTTGGGCTTGAGTCGGTCAGTGCGGCGTCTACCCCTAGCGGGAGACGCCGCCCTGGCAAGGGCAAAGGGGGCAGGGGCGCTGGAGGAGCTAGCGGGGGTGGTGGAGGCGGCGGTGGAGGCGGCGGTGGAGGCGGCGGAGGGAGTCGGGGTGGCGGTGGAGGTGGTGGCGGGGTTGGAGGTGTCGGTGGCGGCAGTGGAGGCGGAGGAGGCGGCGGTGGCGGTGTGAGCGGAGGTGGTGGCGGAGGTGGCGGCGGTGGAGGAGGCGGTGGCGGAGGAGGTGGAGCTGGTCGGGGTGGCACTGCGCAGAGGGTCGGCTCCGGTGGAGGTCAGCGCCAGCACCAGCAGCAGCAGCAGCGCACTCGTGACATCCCCTCCCCTCAGCAGCTCCGTGAGTGGTACACTGCACGCCAGCGGGGTGGGGGTACTGGTCCGTGTACCTACATCCTACGCACCGGCGACCGCACGGGTGAGCAGAG